GCTGAGCCTTGGTCTCCTCCTGGACACTTTCTCCTTCCCGAGTTTCAGTGATGCTCCCTGCCCATCCTCCATATCCCCTCTGCTATCTGTGGGTGCGCCTCCCACCTTTGCTTTTCTCTCTCCCCTCCTTCCCGAGCTCCAACTCCCCACCTCCAGCTGCCTGCAGGACTTCTCCACCTGGAGGTCCCCAAGGCACCTCACACTCAGTGTGGTTCGGGTTTTCTCCCCAAACCCCACCGAGGCTAGCACTGACCTCTCCAACACAGGTTCACATCCTTGGCGTTGTTTTCTGCTCTCTCAGGTTCAAGCTTCTCCAGCACCTGTCCCCTTCTTGCCAGTCACACCACTACCACCCAGGGCTGGTCCTCATTGATGCTCACCTCCTGCCTGGGCTTCCGTGTCCAGTCCCAGCTCGAATCCCCTTCTCCAGGAAGCCTGTTGGCGCCACTGCTGCTACTGCTGCTGATCTCCAGGGTGGCCTGGAGTGGCTGGCTGGTGGTCTCACTCCCCCATTAGACTGGAAGCTCATCGGGGGCAAGGACCATTAGAGTTGCTGAATTACGGGGTTGGGTTCAGGGGTATTTGGTGCCTTTCTTTGCATCCCAGTGAGCGGCACATGGTGAGCACTGAATAAATGATTCTGGGCCAGCTGACTCCTGCCTGCAGTGCCACCCCTCTCCAGCCTTCCTGCAGCTCTCCAAAGGATCATCTCAAAGACCATGTCGGACCATCGTGGCCTCCAGGATGAAGTGACTCTGTGGTCTGACTGAGGCTCCAGCTTACTCTGGCTTTTCTTTTTGGTTTTATGCTCTTAGGATAAGATGGGCATTTCCACATACATTGTAAAGCAGAAGAGGGAATGGCGAAGAGCCAGTGAAAATGTCCATTTTCAGGAGGTAGGGTGTGCTGTGTGTTGACCAGTGTCAATGGAGGGCCAGCCATAAGGTATGGAAGATGGGGGCAGGGAAACAGGTAACAAAAGGCTTTGAATGCCAGACAAAGGTCTTTATATTTGATCTGGAGGTGATAAGGAGCTTCTGGGGTTTATTGAACAGGGTCCCAGCTGTACTTTAGGAAGGTCACTTTGGAGGCTGAATGGAGGATGAACCAGACTGGGGAGAGCCTTGAACAGCACCCCCAGCAGCTATGGCCATTGTCCAGGGGAGAGGGGATGAGGCCTACACAGTGTGGGGTGGGGGCCGAGTGGGTGTGCAGGAGAGATGTTAAGAAGGTGAAATCAACAGGCCTTGAGAATGAGTTGAATATGAGAGGTGAGAGTGAGGGGTACAAAGGGACACTCAGGTGCAGAGCCTGGGCCACTGGGAGGAGGGTGGTGCCCTCCTCATTAACAGGGAAGGTGGGGATGGGGGGAGGGTTTAGGGGGATAAGATGATGAGTTTTGTGTTGGATGTGTTCGGTTTAAGATGTCCAAAAGGCAGCTAGAGATGAGAGATTGGAAGTTAGCAGAAATGTGAATAAATGTGGTTAATAAATTTTAAATAATAAAATTTACTGGATAAGTAAGTTTAAAAATCATCAGCATGGAGATGATAACAGACTTCATGGTAGTGAAATAGCCTAGAGGGAGAAGTGAGAAAGGTCCAGGACACCTAGACTCCCCCAGTTTTGATTTGTAAGAGGAATGATTATTTCTCTCTTATAAGAGTAATCAGTCATTGAATTAGGACCAGGATTTTTTTACTTTCCTATTTCCTCATTCAGAAATCAGCTCCTTGTAGGTTATTCAGCCAGCATCTGAATGACTTTGCTGATGATGAGATTGGATTAACTTTCTCCCCAGTCTGGTTCAGAACCCACCCAAGTGGGGAAGCCCATTGTGATCTGCCTGGGTTTGGGTGGGAGGTAGATCTTTTGTCTAGATTGCCCGGGCCTGGGGGTGCTCTGAGAGCAAAGGGGAGTAATCAGTCACACCTGCCCCCAGCCTATCATTAGAATAGGCCCACCTCTCATTATAATACCTGTTCTTCTCATTAATTGTTAACCAATCAGAGTTGAACACCACCTGTTGGGAACACTCCCTCTTTTAAGGGCATGTAAGCATCAAGAGGCTGCCATGACCCATCTTTGGCTCATGAGAGGCAGCCAGACAATCAATCCTGTTATTAATTATCTGCTAGCAATAATCAATAAAATGATTAATTAACCAGAAATGATGCCTCTGGACCTTTTTATGTCATTCTTGTGCTTTTTTGGGTTTTTTTAGGTGCCCAAGTATAAGATTTTACGTTTATGCCTACTGAATGGAAACCTTCTGGCTACAGGAAGCAGGCTGGGTATGACTGGGGCACAGCCAGCAGGGAATGACTGGTCACCATTCTGGTCATAACTCTGAGCTCTCCTCATTGCCCAGGAAGTAAAAGGGAAGGTCAGACCTGTAGATCCACTGGACAGGGAAGGGCCCTTGAGGCCATTTTACAGAGGAGGAAACTGAGTCCCAGAAAGGGGAAGAGGCCAATCAGGACTAGGAAGCCTTTCCATTCTTCTGAAAAAAAAAAATATGAGCAGAGACCCGAGGCTTCTTCTCCTCCAGCCACTCCCTCTTGTTTCTTCATGGGTGGGTGGGGGAGGACAGGGTGCACTATCTTGGGGTACTGTGTGGCTGATAAGGACAGAGACAGGGGGAGACTGAGGGGCCTCTGAGGAGCCCTGGACCCAGGCAGTGGGGTGGGGTGAAAAGGGTCTGAAGACCAGGGTCTTAATTTCCAGGTCAATGACTGTCCAGCTGATTGACTTTGGAGCACCCCAGACTCCCTCCTTCCCTTGTCAAGACAAGTCTCTGTTCTTAGGGACTTTAGGACCTTCTTGAGAAGACTCTCACCCTTCTCTGGCCTGGAGGACACATCAAGGATGTGATGCTTGGGGGGGGGGTCACAAGGGGAGAGCTTGGGGCCAATAAGAACAGTCATGCCCCACTAGACACCACATCGATTTATCCAGGAGCCAGCTGGGAGGCTGCACTAGGCAGGTGCCTCCATTTTATCGAGGCACCTAATAAATTCTCTCTGGATACAGACTCACTAAAAGGCTCAATCTGAGAAATAGTTCTTAATTAATACTAATGAATTAACTAGTATTACTGTGTTAGGCTCAAGCGATACTAAGAGCAAAACAACACTGCCCCTGCCCTTAGAGGGTCTGCAGGGGAGTGCCTCAGGCGTGTCAGGCAAGGTATCGTTCTCATCCAGGACTGAGATGGAAGCATAGACAGTAGAGTTCTCAAACCTGTGTATGATGAAGCTAACGTACTGAATGACAGCTTTGGGAACTGAAATGATCTAAGCAGTCTCCGATAACAGGCAGAAATGCTTCTCATGGATTTGTGCTCTCCTCAGTTGGGGAGTCCCCTCCAGTGAGGCAGATTGCATCCTATCCCTGCCTGCTCATCCTGTGTCACCCACATCAATGTCCTTCCATAACCAGACTAGATTTGATCAGGATCAAGGTGATCCCTGCTCTCAGATCAATGACAGTCACCTTTCTCCAATGAGATGGGGGAGGTTTGGCTAGATAAACTGTACTTCCTTTCATGAGGAAAATGATCTCTGGTGGAAGAGGCACAATCTCAGAATGGAAACAAAATCTGAGTCAAAGGACTTGAGTTCAAGTTCCAGCTCAGACCTAAGGCTTGTGCGCCTTGGTTAAGTCGCCATCAGTTTTCTCTTCTGTAAAATAAGGGAGAGGGAATCACTGACCTCTCAAGTTCCCCACCCCCCCCCAGGTCTCTAGTGGTGATTCTGAAAATTGGTGCCACCTTCTGCTCTAGGGAGAGGTGGAATGTCCTGGAGGGGGTGGGAGATTGGCCCTGGTCAGGTCCCACCTGCAGCACTGGGCCCCCCACATGAGGGAGGAAGTTGGGACATGGGACTCACTGGAGAGGGTTAATGAATAGGATGATGAAGGACTAGAGATGGGGCCACCTTGGCATCAGGTGAAGGACCTGGGGATGTTCGCCTGGGAGAAGAGATGAAGGGCTGTGCAAGGGGGAAGAGGGGAGACAGAAGAGTTATCTTCAAGTGTCCTAAGGGGGCGTCAAGCCTTCCCTTCTTGAGGAGGGGGAGGGGCGTCAGAGAAAGGAACATAAGGGGCAGGGCAGGGAAGCTGCAGAGAGGCCGGGCTAGCTAGCTGAATGTCTAAACAAACCTCCTACCAAAGAGGGCTGTCCCATCATGGAACATGCTCCCCATCAAGCAGAGAGAGGCCTCCAGACAACAGGGTCCGAGGAGGACTCTTGGTTGAGATCCACCTTGGACTGACCCCTACTGAGGAGAATGAGGCAAGAGCAAGACTCGCTGCTCCCTCTCACCTAGCCTCAAAGAGGCAGAAAGACATAGGAGGGCAGTCCAAACGTCATCCCGGGGTGAGACAGACAGTTGTGTCCAAGCCTCGGCCCAGGCTTGGTCCCCAAGGGTTAGGGCAGGAAGTGAGTGGGGGAGGGGAATGCCAGGCCTTAAAGGAGCCAGCTGCTGGAGGTCAAAGGGCAAGTCACCCGGACTTCTGTCTCTTCTCTGTTTCTCTGTGTCTCTATTCTATCTCTGTTTCTGTCTCTTTGTCTCTGGCCGTGTCTGTGCCTTTTCGCTGTCCGTTCCTCATTCCTGAAACGCTCTCATCTCTGCCTCCTGGCTTCCTTCAAATCTCAGCTAAAATCGCACCTTCTACAGGAAGCCTTTCCCAATCTCTCTTAAGGCTCTTAGTCCCCTCTCTTAAGCATTTCCAATTTGCCCTGCAGAGAGCCTATTTGGACGGATTTGCTAGTATTTTTCCCCATTAGACAGGGAGATCCCTGAGGGCAGAGACTACCTAGGGTCGAAAGTCATCTCCTAGGGACTGGGTGAGCTTGCGGTTGGGCCACACCCTCCCGGCCCACCCGGGAGGGGGCGGGGCCGTGCCTAGATCCTCCTCTGTTCCTCCTCCGGGGCTGGGCGAGGCGGGACCCGGAGTTCCCCAGGGCCAAATAGAGCCCTACCTAGCGGGCCTGGAGAGAAGGGTCTGGAGGTGGTGCCTACCGGGACTGAGAAGGAGGAAGAGATAGAAGAGGAAGAGGAGGGAGGGGAGCGCCGCCCCCCCCTCCTCTGCTTCAGCCGGGTAGCGTGGGGTGGAGCGCCCACAGACCTGAGACAGAAAGCCGCCGCTCGGGGTGCGCTTCAAGTGCGCTCTCCTTGCCCCGGAGCCGGGGCGCATTCCGTCCGAGCTGGGACCATGTGCGGCTCCCGCCTCTGCTGCTGCCTTTTTGGCCTCGTCCTGGTCCTCGTCGTGAGCCTGCCCAGCTCCCTGGGGCTCCCCGGTGAGTGGGGTGGTGGGGGTGGTGGTATGGGGCTGGGGAACCTGGGGCGGCGCAGCCCGGAGCGGAACGCGCCTCACCTAGCTTCCCTGAGCTGTTTACTTCTGGCCCCTTGCCCGTGACGGGGTCCCTGGATCTTTACCCGGATCCTGGGCTGGATCCAGGGGTCTCCAGGCTGAGTCCCTGAACTTTCAGGTTCCAGAGCTGCGTCCTAAGCCAGACGGGTCCGAAGTTCGGGAGGTCATGGTGGGTTTGGCTCCTAAGCTTTGGGTGAAGGGAAGTGAGTCAGGCAGGCGGCTCCGAGTGAGCCCTGTCTGATACCGTCACCCCTCCCGGGGCCCTGGGTCTGGCTAGTAGGGACCGCAGAGGGGGCAGGCACGCGGAGTGACTGACAGGCAGATAGACACTTCCAAAGCAGTTAGGGTGTGTGATCAGTGTTAGGGGAGGGAAAGGTCGGTGGAACTGTGAACTCTCCCAAGAGCCCTCTCTTCCGCACCCCCCCCCCCGACTCAGCCCCTAAGCCCAAATGGCGGAGTAAAGGGGGGGGGGACCCTTGACCTTTGCTAGTTCCCTTAGTGGCCAGGGACTCTCGGAAGCCACCTTGACCGCCGGCTCTTCTACAAGCATCCTCCTAGTTGGCTCGGGCCTTACTCCAAGTCCAATTTTTGGACTTCCCCAAAGATCGGACCTGGGCAGGACCTCAGGACCACCTAGGCAGTCTAAGCCCCCATTTGACAGTAGGGTGGAGGTACCGGGGTCCCAGAGAGGGGAAGGTACCTGCCCAGTGTTACGCAGCCCTCCTTTGGGACTGGAATTCGGAACCCAGGGCTCGACTCTTCTGTCCAGTTTGTAGGGCGTTAGGGACTGAGCATTCCGAAGAGGGGAATACTCCGAGAATTCCAAAAGGGAGGGGGCTGCGGATTCCGAAGGGGGATGTGCTTATAACCACAGAGTGATTTCCCTGGCCCTGGCCGTGAGGCCGTGACTAATCGCTGTGAATCATCTGGTCCCCTGCAGTGTCAGGGACTGGGAGCTTGCGGGAGGCGGTCTCTGCAGATGTAGGACTAACCTAAGTGACTCACTCGACTGAGGGATTTGGGGAAGGAGCCCCGGGGCGTGGATTCTTTCCAAGCCTGGAAGCCCCTTCCTCCCCTCAAAAGTCTCCCCCAGTCCACACCGAGGGCTGGAAGCATGCTGATAGAAAGGATTGATTCCAAGCCCTCGGAGATTTTGTTGTGGGAGTCCCGACGACTCCCGACTGACCTCCCACACCTGGCCCTGGGATTTTGCCCTTCTCTGGGGTCTGGAGCTTCCTTTCTTTGCAGCTCTGGCCATATACACCGGCCTAGGCCTTGGCCCCTCCTAGGGCTGTGTGACCTTGGGCAAGTCACATCCCTTCCCTAAGGCAAGTGGGCTCCCTGATCCAGGCACTGGGTATATCTGAGGATTGTGAGAATGGGAGAGGATGATGGGTGTTTAGGGCTTTCTGGGTGCGATTTCTTTATTATTAGTGTGTATTTGGCCGGGGGGGGGGGCGGTTCTGTTTGGCCAGGTTGCTCAGAAAACCCTTGGAAATGGGGGTCTTGCCGCTGCCTGGAAAATTCCCATGTTTCTATTACTGCTGAGAGGCTGGGGCACAAGGGGCAAGGAAGCTTAAGCCCACTGAGCCTAGGGAAAGCCACAAATGGTGGGCAAAATGGGGTCAGTGCACCTGGAGAAAGCTGGGTTTGAAAATAATCCCTGCCGGGGGCAGGTTACTCATCTGGCTACAGGCTGGCTGGTGTGTGGGAAGAAGCTGGGTTTGTGCTGGTTGTGAGAGCAGCTGGTACTGGCCACTTGCCCTGCCCTGCCCCAGAAGGGCAGAACCACGCGATTAGGGTTAGTGTTGGAGTGGCTTCAGGCTGAGCTCCCTCCCTCACCCGAGACTGGCTGTGGTCAGCTGGCTACCAGTTCCCTTTCCTAGCTGTCCCTGTTATTGTATACTTACACCACGGGGGCATCTGGGGTGGCAGCAGTAACAAGGCACAGAGCAGCTAGGTGATTCTTGCAGGGTCTAACAGCTAGCAAATGTTGGAGCCCTGGCTCACCTCAGGGGTCCCACTGCCCTGCCCTTCATATTGCCCCGGCCTCCGCCCCGTCCCACCACTTTGCAGATAACAGATTGTTTATGCTTCATAAGCAGCTCCCCTCCCTGTGAGCGTGCAAGCCCAAATCCTGGGGAGCAGGGACACTGTTTCCCTTTCTCTGTGTCCCTAGCCCTTAACTCTGGAGCTTGGCACATAGGAAATGATGAATATGATATATTTCTTGCTGGCCTGAGAGTAAGGTAAATTGGGCACTATTATCCCCAGACTACAGGTGAGTAAACTGAGTTTCAGAGTAACTGTTCAGTGGCCCAGAGCCAGCTGAGTGTGACTTTGGCTGAGTCCCCTGTCCCCTGACCACTCCCACCTCCTACTGTCTTGTAAAATGAAGGGGTGGAATGTGATATGATAGGGTGACCAAGGTCGTTCAAGTCCTGAGTTCAAATGCTGGACAGACGGGAAGGAGGAAGTGGGGGGAGGGGCAGAGATTATGACAGAGAAACACCGACAAGGACAGAGACAGAGGGAGAGAGATTATGACACAAACTGAGAGATAGTGACAGAGAGGAAATGTAACAGAGAGACAGTGGCTGAAACAGAGGGAGAGAGATTATGACAGAGGCACAGTGACGCAGAGAGGAGTCTAGGTCTCAGTTCCTTCTTCCACTTGGGTTCTAGGATTTTAGCCCTGGAAGGACTATTACAGATCATCGAGTCCAGCGATCCCATTTTACATGTAGGGAAGCTAAGGCCAGAAGTACCCAGGGTCATAGTGGAGCTAAGAGGTGGAGAATCCAGCCCCAGGGGTGGGTGGGGCCCTATCCCTCAAATCTGAGGCCTCTAGTGGCTTACCTTGAGAGCTCAGAGCAGTCAACCTAGGTTTATTAAGTGCCTACTGAATGCCAGGCACTGTGCTAAGCACTGGATGGATACACCTATCGGCAGTGAAGCTGTCCCATCACATAGCCCAGGTATTATTTTTCCCATTTTACAAATGAGGAAACTTGAGGCTCAGGAAAAATGACAGTGTCCCACTGGTAAAGGACTTCAGAGGTCATTTATCTAGTCCAGTCCGTACCTGCGCACAAGTGCCACCTGTCTCATCCCCAACAAACTCTCGTTCTGCCTCTGCTTGCAGACCTCCATGACCAAGAACTCATCACCTCCCTGATGCAGATTGCTCCCGGGTCTGCTCTCTGGGGCTCTTTTCCACAGGACAGACACAAAGCCAGCATCTCTCCCAGGGTATCTATGCCCAATGCCTTCAGCTGGTCCCCCCCTTAGATGACATGGGCCAGAGGAAGCCCTTTCCCATCCTGAGTGTTCTGCTCTGGATATTCAGGCTTACCTGGAGACCTGCCCAACAGCCGAAGCCAACTCTCCTGACCCCCCAGCCCACCAGCCTTGGTCCTGTCCTGGGCTTGGAGAGAGGAGGCCTGGCCCAGCATGGCCTTGCCTTGGGACCTTGGGTGAGTCTCACCCCAGAGGCCTCCCGGTCCTGTTCTGGAAATCTAGGTGACAGGACCAGTCTTGGGCCTGAGGTTGGACTATCCCAGGCCCAAACCCCTTCTCTTACAGAAAATTCCAGGGTTCTAGGCCAACCTCCCCTGGGAAGCTTCTTGGCCAGTTACACCTCCCTTCCCCTCAGCTCTCTGATGGTAGCTGGGGCAGTCATATGGTCATTCATTCATCCACCCACAGGCATTTCCTAAGCACCTGTAATGTACTGGCATGGTGTGAGGTGTGGGAATACAGTCTTCTGTCTTGCCTTCAGGGGACTTACATTTTTTGAACAGGCAGCAGGAGAAACGTAATGTGCATTCAGATATACTACTTTGTGGTATAGGCAGAGATTGGGCCAGGGTAGGAGTGGGGGCACTCACTGATTGAGGCATCAGGACAGGCTTTCTGTGGGAGGCCCTTGGAGCCAACAGCTATAGCAATAGTCCAGGGGTGATGAGGACCTGCACCAGAGTGGGCAATGTCAGAGGAGAGGAGGAGGGGTATTGGAGAGATGACAGGAAGGTGACATCTATCAAAGATGAGGTAGTGGTGAAATTGACAAGAAGTATAGCAGAGGCAAAATCGAGAAGAGATGGTGCAGAGGTGGAAAAGATGTAACAAGTAGAATTGAGGAAAATTCTAATAGAGGTGGAATTGACAAAAGATGTTGCAGAGTTGAGATCACAGGCTGCCTAGACATCTTGGATGTGAAAGTGAGAGACAGTGAGGAGTCCAGGCTGATTCTAAGGCTGAGAGCCTGTCCTGGTTTCATTGGAAGAGCATGGTGCCCTGGACAGAAATAAGGAAGCTAAAAAGAGGGGAGGGTTTAGGGGAGACCTCTGTTTTTCTGTAGATGTGTGTTGGTCCTCCCTGGCCTCACACCTCATTGACCCCACTGGGCCAATTCTGGCAGATGGGAGAGCCCTGACCACAGCTGTGCAGCAGTGGTAGACGGCAGAGTCAGAGGATCTGGGTTCAAATTCTGTGCATCTCTGGGCAGGCAGGTCATTTCCCCTGCCTAGGCTTCTGTTTCCTCATCTGCAACATGAGGAATTTCTAGCATCCTTTAAAAAAAAAATTAACATTTTTGTTCAAAATTTTGAATTCCAAATTCTATCCCTCCCCTCTCCCCTCTCTGAGATGGTAAGCAATCAGATATAGGTTATATATGTGCAATTACATAAAGCATTTCCATATTAGTCATTTTGTACAAGGAGACTCAAATAAAAGATTTCAAATAAATGAAAGAGAAAGTAAAAACTGGCCTGCTTCAGTCTGTATTCAGTCAATATCAGTTCTTTGTCTGGAGGTGGATAGTATGCTTCACCATGAGTCCTCTGGGTCTTGGATCATTGTATTGCTGATAATGGGCTAGCGTGCCTTTCTGCTCTTCTCTGAGTCCCACAGTCTCCAGGGGCCACCTCAATATTTGCTGTACCATGCTTATTTCTCTTGCATCTCTGATAGGCAGACTGAACAGGAGGGGCAGCCCAGCCCAGATTGCTGTGGTCTTGGATGCTGGTGCTTGTTGGGGTCAGCAAATGCTTTGGGTCCTCCAGTCTAGGGAGGAGAGAGGCCAAGCCTCCTCCTCTGTGCCCCAGGACCTGTTTTTCCCTCCCTCCTGTGAGGGGCCTGGAAGCCTCCCTGCCCAAGAAAAGAATGTGGCTCTGCAGGATGGGTGGAGGTGGTGGGGAGGTGTCAAGGTGTACCTGAAACTCCCTGTATCTGGGCCAGGGCCAAGGCAGGGGTTGAGTGTGAGGGCAAGGGGCCGGTGAGGACTTTCAGCAGTGGGCTTTTTTAAAAATTTTTTTTTTTAGGCAATTAGGGCTAAGTGACTTGCCCAGGTTCACACAGCTAGTAAGTATTAAGTGTTTGGTCTGAGGCCTGATTTGAACTCAGGTCCTCCTGACTTCAGGGCCGGTGCTCTATCCACTGCGCCACCTAGTTGCTCCAGTGGGCTTTTCTTGTTTCTCCATTTTACCAACTGCCTCTGAAATGATGGGCAGCTAAGGTGGCTCAGTGGATAGAGCATGGGGTCAGGAGTCAGGAAGACCTGAGATAAAATCTGGCCTCAGATACTTACTAGCTGTGTGATCCTGGGCAAGTCGCTTCACCCTGTTTGTCTGTTTCCTCATCTGTAAACTGAGTTAGAGAAGGAAATGGCAAACCACTCCAGTATCTTAGCCAAAAAAACCCCAAATGGATATGAACAGGCAGTTTTGAGATGAAGAAATCAAAGCTATCTATAGTCATATAAAAATGCTCTAAATCATGATTAATTAGAGAAATACAAATTAAAACAACCCTGAGGTACCACATCACACCTATGATAAGTGTTGGAGAAGATACGGGAAAATTGGAACACTACTGCATTTTTGGTGGAGTTGTGAACTGATTCAGCCATTCTGGTGAGCAATTTGGAACTATGCCCAAAGGGCTATAAAAATGTGTCATACCCTTTCATCCAGCAAATAGCACTTCTAGGGCTGTATCCCAAAGAGAGAATAAAAACGGGAAAAGGACCCACACGTATAAAAATATTTATGGCAGCTCTTTTCATGGTGGCAAAGAATTGGAAATTGAAGGAATGCCCATCAATTGGGGAATGGCTGAACAAGTTATAGCATATGAATGTAATGGAATACTGTTGTGCTGTAAGAAATGATGAGCAGGAGAACATTGTACACAGTAACAGCCACACTGTGCAATGACTAACTTTGATAGACTTAGCTCTTCTCAGCAATGGAAGGATCTAAGACATTTCCAAAGGTCTCATGATGGAAAATGCTATCCACATCCAAAGAAGGAACTATGGAGTTTGAATGCAGATTGAAGCATACTATTTACTATTTTTTTCTTCTGTTTTGTTTTGTTTTCTCTTTCTGGTGGTTCCTCCTATTGGTTCTAATTCTTCCTTACAACATCACTAATGTAAAAATATGCTTAATAGAAATGTATATGTATAGCCTATATCAGATTGCACGCTATCTTAGGGAGGGAGGGGGAGAAAATTTTAAAACTCAAAAGCTTATGAAAGTGATTGTCTATAAATCAAAATAAATTAAAAAAAAAATTATCTAAGACAGTTCCAAAAGAGTCATGATGGAAAATGCTGTCCACATCCAGAGAAAGAACTGTGGAGTCTGAATGCAGATGGAAGCATTTTCACTTTTTTTGTCTTTTCTTTTTCGTGGTTTTCCCCTTTTGTTCTGATTCTTCTTTCATAACTTGACTAATGTGGAAATGTGTTTAACATGATTGCACGTGTATAACCTATATCAGATTGCTTTCTGTCTTGGAGAGGGAGGGAGAAAAGTTTGGAACTGAAACTCTTATAAAAATGAGGGGCAGTTAGGTGGTGCAGTGGATAGAGCACCGGCCCTGGAGTCAGGAGGACCTGAGTTCAAATCCGGCCTCGGACACATAACACTTACTAGCAGTGTGACCCTGGGCAAGTCACTTAACCCCATTGCCTAGCAAAAAACAAACAAGCAAAAAAAAGAACTTTTATAAAAATGAATGTTGAAAGCTATCTTTACATGTAATTGTTTGTTTTTTTTTTTTTTTTCCAGGCAGTTGGGTTTAAGCGACTTGCCCCAGCTCACACAGCTAGTATCAAGTGTGGGGTCTGAGGCCAGATTTGAACTCAGGTCCTCCTGACTTCAGGGTCCATGTTCTATCCATTGCACCACCTAGCTACCCCTTTTTACATGTAATTTGAAAAAAAAATACTATTAAATGGGGGGGAAAAATAAGAAAACCCCAAATGGGGTCATGGTAAGTCAGACATGACTGAAAATGCCTGAACAAAAACCGATCTGAAATGATGGTGATTGAGGTTGTGAGTGTGTCTGTGGTATATGTGATTAAATCTGTCGGTCTGGGCAGGCGGCATAGTTGCAGGTGAGTTTCACTGAGCCCCGGCCCGAGGGGACGGAAGGTGCTCAGCTGCAGGTCCCTCGTTGGGCTCTGGGCAGCGCCAACCCTGGTGACGCCCTTTTCCTCATAGGACATACAGATTCATTCCTCTGTGACAGACTTGTTCTCACGGCCTCAGGCTTTGGCTTCCAAAGGAAAACCTGAGGCGCAGGGAGGCATTGGCTGGCCAAGGCTGTGGGGCAGGCTGAGCATTGGACTCCACCTCTGGCCATTCAGCCTCTGAGAACTGAGGCATCTGTGGGAGCGCCAGGGTCTGAGATGCAGCTTCCGGTCATTGCTGCCTCCTCTTTCTCCCTCCCTTCTTTGGCTGCTTGGTGAGAGGTGATGGGGTGCTGATGCCCTTGGCCTTTGGAAGATGGGGGAGGACGCTGGGGCTGGAGGGAAGGAGTGGGAGAGGAAGCAGCTGCCTGAACTCTGGGCCCCACCAAGCCGACTGAGAAAATGCACAGCGCAGGTGGTGCTCCTGGTCTTGGCCACTTTTTCCCCACCCTGGCCCCCCCAGTATCATCATCCACTGCCTCCTGTCTCCAGGACTGTCTGCCCACCTGCCTCCGTCTGGCCCCTTGACCCACGTGGAACAGTATGAGGTTGTGTATCCATTGAAGGTGCCCGTCCCCAGGGCCCGGAGAGACCTGTCCTCACCGCGGGTAAGTCTGTCTCTGACTTCCCCAGCACGCGCCCTGTGGGGCCTCTCCGCTCTTCATTGCAGAGTGGCCCACTTGGGCCCACATCTGGGAACAAGGGACTTGGGAGCCTGCTCTGAGTTCTCACTCGGGATGCTCGTCCCCTCAGCCCTGGGTCTTCTGCGGGTCGTGGCTGCCCGGTTCAGGGGAGACCTCTGGGGTCCTTCCACCTGTAGCTCTAATTCTGAGCTCTGCCCTGGCTGTTCATTCGAGGAACCCAGGTGACTGGGAGACAGCAGTAGAAATCTGGAGCAGGCATTTCCCAGTTTTGTCAGCTAAAATCAGCAACCTTTTCTGCAGTCGGGTGGGCGGGCAAGTGGGCAGGCAGGCCAGTGCCAGGGCTGGCTGGGTTTTTTTCCCGACAGTCCTCCTCCTTCCTTTGCTGTGCCCTGGCTCAGTGAGTGTGAGGGCAAGTGTGGCAGGGGGCTCTCTCCTGTAGAGGCTGGGCTGGGAGGCAGGAATCTGCTCCCATGCTGTCCTCATCCCCATCCACTCCAGAAAACATGGCACAGCCAGCAGTTATTAGACTCCTGCTGTGTGCAGGGTCCTGTGCTGGGCCCTGGGGGGACCCCCTGGATCAGGGTCATTGGGATTGTGAGGACAAGGATCTTTTTGCTTCTCTGTGTATAAAAGTCTGCTAGGGTGAGGCACTGGCAGAGAGAACCGAGGATGACCCTGTCCACCCGCCTCCTCGCCTGCTTCCTCACTGCCCAGACCCTTAAGCTGGTGGCTCCAACCTTGGCCTCTCTGCTCCCTCCCCTTCATAGTCCAGCTGCTGGATGCTCCACCTGCCGTGGTCACCTATGAGCTGCTTGGGACTGGGACAGTGTTTCTGAGGGATGGTCCTGCTCACCTGGGAGCCCCTCCTCCTACCCCCCACTGTGGATGTCCTCCACAGCCCTTCCCATCCTCCACTCTCTCCCTGCTGCGACTTTACCTGTCTATACCTGGGAAGCCTAGACCCACCTTCTAGACCCACCCTCTATCTGTCTACACTGGGGATGCCCAGACCCAACCCTCCAGGCCTGGCTGTGCCTGTGGTTCTGCTACGGGGCTGGGGCAGGCCAGGTCCAGGTGGCAACTGGGGCGTCTAGTCCTCCAGAGAAGAGGTCCCTCCTCTTATTCTCTGTTCCTCTCTAGCCTGCAGCCTATGTGCACACAACTGGTGCTCGCTAAATGTGGGTCGGGATAGGTATTTCCTGAGATGGTTTTTGGTTTGTTTTCATAATCTCACTACCTCTCACAACTTCCTCCTTTTAGTATTTTCCAAAGGGCAAGTTTCAGGTGAAACAGCAAAGTCTTAAGTCAGATGCCAGGCTTTCCTTTGGAGAAAAGAGTTCAGTCTCCTCCTCTGAAACCACCTCTGGCCTGTTTTGTTCCAGGCAGTGGCTCTTGGCTGAGATAAGCTTGTCTCATTGGAGCCAGAGGGTCCCAAATGACCTGACCAGAGTCTGAACAAGCCACGTGATGTCCCGGGCAAACGGCCGTAGCCCCTGGCCCACTCTTGGTGCTGGAAGCTCTGGGCAGCCCAGATGCTTCTGGCCTTGGCCCACTTGGAGCTGTAGCTCTACAGCTCTGTTGCTGGAGTGACCCCCGGTCCACAGTGACAAGACTCTGAGTTGGGGCCTCCCACTGCCAAAGGCCCCAGGCCTTTGCTGCCTTCCCAGTGGAGGCTCTGGGCCTGACTTCAAAAGAGTTGATCTTTTTTCTTTTTTTTATAATTAATTTATTTTGATTTATCAACGATCACTTCCATATGCTTTTGAGTTTAAAATTTTTCTCTCCCTCCCTCCCTCCCCTAGACGGCACACAATCTGGTATAGGCTCTACATATATATTCCTATTAAAAATATTTTCACATTAGTGATGTTGTAAGTAAGAATTAGAAGCAATAGGAGGAACCACCAGAAAGAGGAAACAAAACTAAGAAGAGGTGATCTTTCATGCCTGCCCGCCTCTTCAACCACTCCACATCACATGGCTTTGTGGTTTGAAGTCAGCAGGGTTCCCACTCTCTCTCTGCTGGTACCTGGCTCTTCCCAAAGCTGGGGAGACTTTAGCGAATTCCAGCTCCAGAGGACAGCATCCAAAGTTAGCTGAGCCCTGGACCCAGGGGCCTGTAGGATGGCTGCAGGCGGCTGGCTCAGCTGGTCTGTGGGTCACAGGGTTATCCCTGTGGAGGGTCAGGTATCTTGGCGAAGGGAGCTAAAGCCCCAGCTGAGAGGGGAGATGGGGAGCAGGAGATACCTCCGTCCCGCTGCTGCCGAGGGGCAATCCTTTCTGCAGAGCGGCTTTGGCCTCTGGCCTGGAAGAGAGAAGTGCTGGGAAGGGAGGTGGGGGACCGGGCCCAGCCTACCCTGGAGAGCTTCTGTACAGCAACATGGTTAATGTCGTGGTGGCTTTCTAGAGAATCGTCATGGCAGTGACCCTCCTCCCCCAAGGGGTGGGTCTCCCCAGAGAAGTGTGTGGGAGGGAGGGTTCCTGGGGGGCAGACTTGGTACTCCAGAGGATCTGTGGGCTGCTGTGGAATCCAAAGGGCAGCTCCCAAGGGCCTGGGTTTGGGTTCTTCTCTCTGGGCCTCAGTTTTCTAATCTGTCAAATGGAGGGCTAGCTAGCCTTCCCGGTGCCTTCCAGCACCAGTTCCATGGTCCAACACTAGGAAGAAAAAACAGAGGTATGTACCAAAACCTGGAAGACTGGTTATTCTCAGGGGACACATGGGAGCTATGTTTTCAGCCCTATGTGACGGTGTGAAGAGTGTGTGCCTGGCAACTCCCGGTCTGCCTACCCCTAGTTCTGGCTCTGCCTTGAGGCCTTGGCCCTCCTCCTTTGCTGTATAATAATGGAGAAAGAGCATGGCTAGGTGGCGCCATAGTGCATAGAGTCCCAAGCCAGGAGTCAGAAAGACCTGAGTTCAAATGTGACCTCAGACACTAGCTATGTGACCCTGGGCAAGTCACTTTCCCTATTTATCTAGCTTTCTCATCTGTCAAATGAGCTGGAGAGGGAAATGGTAACCTCCAGTATCTTTGTCAAGAAAATCCCAGTGATTGGTCACCTGACGCACTTGTTTGGCCAGTATCAACCCCCTGGTTGTCCATTCAAGTCAGTCCTGCACATTTATCAAGCACTGAGAGTGTTAATGTTTGTTTAAACCTGAAAGTTATTAAAGGCTGTGCTGAGCCCCCAGGTCCAGAGACCGTGAGTGCCTGTCCTTGTGAAGGGAGCCCACAGTGGGCCCTCCTTCCCTCTCGGGGTTAAGTGGTCCCTGGCAGGGTTCCAGGGTCTCATTTGGAAGGGTCATTGAGTCAAGCTCCCTCCATGTACAGAGGAGGGGGCTGAGGCACAGAGAGGGAAGGGGCTTGGCCCAAGGCCCAGCGATGGTCACAAAGGAGAAATGGCGGTCCTGGGGCCGTCTGGGTAGAGCCGGGCTTGGACCTGAGTGTCACTGGGGCTGTGGCCGTGGGCTTGCGGGTGCCAGGCGGCTGGAGCACCCTGCAGTGACTGCTCGAGATGGTAGGCATGAGAAGGGAGCTGAGGGTAGATCCACGTACGGCCACAGACCTTCCCCCCGTACCTGGGCCCCAGGCGAGGGTTGGTTGGCACGCTCGTCCCTAACGAATGTCCATTTTGTTGTGTTCAGTCTCTGTATCCAGAAAACCTCCGCTATGTCCTGGGTCTGAAAGGAAGCAACTTAACCCTGCACTTGCGTAGGAACAGGTGAGCGCGGAAGGCCCTCAGGAAGACATTGCTGGTGCCTTGCCGGAGCCGGGGCTCCACCCTAGAGGAATGCTGCCCCTGGAGGCCCCAGCACCCCCACCCACTGTCCCCTGCTGGAATCATGGGCCCCCCAGGCTCCAGGCGAGCTCGCCTGTCTGTGAGAGGCCACAGGGAGAGGAGAATAATGAGAAACCTTGGGGGAAACCCAGTGAGGCTCTGGAGAAAGGGGAGAGGAGCTCAGCAGCCCCTGTCTTGCAGGGACCTGATGGGGGCCAGCTACACGGAGACCTATACCTCGGCCAATGGCACCGAGGTGACCGAGCAGCCCGGAGACCTGCAGGTAGGGAGGCAGCTGTGGGCACGGCGCTGGGGACAAGGAGGCTTCCCTGGCCAGGCTGTGGGCCACTGCTGTGACCTTCTGTCCTCTTTCTCCTCTTGCCGGTCCAGGACCATTGCTTCTACCAGGGCCACGTTGAGGGGCACCAGGACTCGGCAGTCAGCATCAGTGCCTGCCACGGAATCAGGTAGGTCCCTTAGGGATGGCCGCTGTCAGCCACGATCCTCCCCAAGTGGAAGTAATTAGGCCTCTGCCGGCTTTGAGGTTTGCTGAGCCCTCTTCCTAGTGATACCCCTGGGAGTTAAGGAGTGGAAAGGTTATTATGCCCATTTTGCAGGTGAAGACACTGAGGCTGGACATAGCCCAGTCTTGCCTGCTTTCACAGAGGGGCCATGTTACCCATACCCACGAGGACGTTCTGAACAACACCTAAGCTGTGTCCCTCTGTCTCAGCCCTGCTGTCCATGGCCTCGTCTCCCACCCCTGTGGGAACTGTGCGTGGCAAGCAGTCAGATAAGGTGGTTCTCGTTCTCCTTAGGCCAGAGGTTAGGGTTAGAGGATCTGGCGGCCCCTTGCCCGGCTCAACCTCCCAGGCATGGCTCTGCCTTCCCAGACCCCTCAGAGCACTCCTAACTGACGTGACAGAACCTTCCCTGCTCACATGAGTGCCCCAGCTCTGCCAGCACCTTAGCCTGGGGGAGGGCAGCCTATGGGCCTAGTGAAGGACACGCTAGTGAGCTCACAGACCAGCTGGGCCATGGGCAGGACACGAGAGCCTGGCCACAAGCGTCTGGGCTGCTCCTGCTAAGGTCTGAGGGGCTGTAGAAGGTGCCCCTGGATGGGCTCTGTGTCAGCAAGGGGACGTCCTTCCTGTGCTGGCAGGGGATTCTTCCAGACGGGCTCTACCGTCCATCTTATCGAGCCCCTAGAGGGTGCTGGCCACGAGGGCAGACATGCGGTCTACAGAGCAGAGCATCTCATTCAGAAGCTGGTGACATGTGGGGTCAGCAATACCACCCTGGAAGAGGATCTGGAGCCCAGGATGGCTGCAGCTCAAAAGCCGAGGAACTGGGTGAGGCCCTGGGTGTGGCCCCTGGGCCTGGAGTGGAGGGGGGCAGGGAGAGCACCAGGAGCAGCCCGTGCACACTCCTCACTCAGCAGTCCGAAGGCTTGATTTGGAGTCCCAGGGTCAAGTCTTCTAGGCTCTGGGGAGATGGCCCCCTCCTTCCTCTTGGGCTTGGTACCCTGGCACCAGAGTCTGGGTCTTCCCTTTGCTCTGGCTGAGAGCTCCTGTATCAGTCACAAAGTGGCCTTGTCTGGAGGCCCTGCCTGGGGTGTGCCCCCTGCCTCAGGGTTAGCCCTGGGACAAGATCAGGGCCCCTGACCAGGAGCCTTTGGGTGGGAGGTGGCGTCGGACTTGGTGCTCCCAGAGTGCCATCTCTGTACTGAGGGCTGAAGCAGCCAACAGGCATTTCTAAGTGCTTACTGTGGGCTGGGGCCTCGGAAAGATCCCAGATCCAGAGTGAGCAGGGAGGGGAGGCCACCCAATCCCCACATTTGACGGAGGAGCCGAGGACCACCGGGTGTCAGGGCTCGGAGGGTGGAAGGGCCAGTCCCCAGATCTCTGGGGTAGGGGGGTCGTCCTGCCAGGATTTCAGTCTCAGCAGCCCAGTTCTACTGCAGTCAGCCCAGGGCTCTCCTCCTGGAAGACAGGGGGGCAGAGGCCTTGGCCCCAGGGCTGGAGTGGGATCTGGACCTCGCTCCCCTGACCCGTAGGGCCCTTGGTTTCACCCTCAGAAATCGGGGACGGGCCCAAAGGAAACCCACTACGTGGAGCTCTTTGTGGTTGTGGATCATGAGGAGGTAAGAGGCCGGGATGAGGCCCACGACCCACCCACTCCAGCCCTAAATTTGCTCACTCCCCACAGGCTGAGGCCTGGGGGAGAAGCTCACAGAGGTGACGGCTCTTTCCTTCCCCAGTATGTGAAGTTTAGCGGCCGAGAGGACATACGGAGTCGGGTGAAAGAGATTGTAAATCATGTGGACAAGGTGAGCTCATTATGGGAATGACCTCCAACCCCGCCCCCATGACTGGCCCTCCTCCCTCTGGTGTGGCCCCCACCACCCACAACTCTCTTCCCTCTCCCTGGCTTCCTACCCCCCATGACCCTCCTCCCCCCCAGATGCCCCCATGACCTTCCCCCTGGTTTAGCCTCTGTGGGAGGTATCTGTACCGGGAAGGCCACTGCCTGGCCCCTTTCTGCACACAGGCCAGAATGAATTGGGGGGTCATGGGGTGGGCAGGGTGCTGGTATTCTCAGGGTCTACTGACCATGAGCCTGGACCCATCTGTCCAGGGTGAAGAGGGCTGGCCTGGCTTCCTTCCCCAGCCGCCTCACTGGCCACGCCCCTGCCCTCACAGCTCTATCAGGAGCTCCATTTCCGCGTGGTCCTCATCGGCCTGGAAATATGGGACCGGGGGGACAAAGCCCAGATCAGCAGCAACCCCGACTCCACGCTGGACAACTTCCTCAGGTGGCGCAGCCAGGAGCTGGTTCCTCGAAAGAAGCATGACAATGCCCAGCTGATCACGTAAGCACGTGTGCTGAGGTGTGGCAGGGCCAGGGACGGTGTAGCTAGTGGCTCTGCCTGAGAGACTGCCTGAGAGGCAGAAGGAAATGAAGGGCCCACGGCCAGAGGAAGACAAGTGCCGGGGCATAGGCTGTGTGCACAGGGGGTGGCAGCAGGCATCTCCACCTTGGCCCCAGGTGCTCTGGCTCCGGAGCCGATCAGGCGGCAACGGGGAGGGGTGGTCAGAACATCCCTGGCAGCTCAGACTGGTGAAGGCAGATGCCTGAGGCCTGAGCCCAGGTGAGGTGATGAGAGCTAGCAGAGGGGCGGGGAGAGGGAGTCGGCAGCTGACTGGGTTTGGAAGATGAGGACGAGTGAAGAGGCCGTGTGCCTGGGTGACTGGGGGGAAGAAAGGAGGAGGGGAAGAGAGCTCCAGGAGCAGGCACTGCCCACCGGAAGGAGTCAGGGAGAGCTGGGGATCAGTGCCACGTCACCTGTCAGGCTGCCGCATTGTTAGCTCCTCAGCCCCCATAGTGAGTGACCAAGCTTGTTCTGGAGGTTGGTGGGAGGGGGCATCCTCCGGGTTTGGGAGGGGGTCAGCACCTGCTGGCTTCCCAGGCATGAGGCTGTGGCCCCTGCCTGTCCCCAAGGGAGCATGGCCCACAGGTTCCCCTGGGAAGTTAAAAACAAAAGGAGCTCTAGCACAGAGAATGTCGGGGTGGCTCAGCCTCAAAGGAAAGAGAGCATTTAGATGGGGACAAGAAGTTGAGTGGAGGGTGCTCAGGGAGGGAGGAACAGCATGGACAAAGGCAAGGAGGGGCCTGGAATGGAGTGTGTCACAGCTAGGAGTAGAGAGGACCCCCAAGAGTGACTGGGGGGGTGGCTGTGAGGCCCCACCCACCCAGCAGAGGAATTTGGGCTTGGGCATGGCTGGCTTCCTGGGCACTGGGTTCAGAAGTTGTCAATAACTTTTCTCTTAGAGGTGTGGATTTCGAAAAAACGACAGTGGGGCTGGCCAAGGTGGCCTCCATGTGCACCCCGGGCTCCGGGGCCGTAAACCAGGTGAGCATATGTGAAGGCGGCAGCCCCTGGGCCCCGATCCCAGGGCTGGGCTCCCAAGCCACGGGGCTGGGGACCACAGTGCAGGAGCTCCTGCCTGGCCTGGCGCTGCTGGTGAGCAGACGCTTCAGGGTCTCCCCCCTCCCCCCACAGTCTCCCGGCAGGACCTGCAGACCTCATGTCCCTGTCCTTTTTTGTCTTCTCAAGCCTTTTGGGTGGGGGGCACACACATTTAGGGCTAAGTTTGAATTGAAGTCGCAGGGGCTCTGGGCCTGTTTTCCATTGGTCCTTGTGATTTGTGTCCATGGCTTCTCCTCCCAGCTCGATGGAGCCTGGAGGGCAGGGTCCCTGGTTCGTTTGCTGGCTCCATCCCACCACCAGGCTGGCTGATGTGGCCATCCATCCATCCACTCTCTTCCCTCCCCAGGACCACCATGTCAATCCCATTGGGGTGGCGTCAACCATAGCTCATGAGATGGGACACAACCTCGGCATGGACCACGATGAAAACATCGCCGGCTGCTACTGTCAAGAGCAGAAGCAGAACGGTGGGTGCATCATGGCGGCCAGCCTCAGGTAGGGTTAGCCACCAAGGTGGATTCCATGGAGGCGGCAGGAGCCAAGTTCCCAGTCCCTGGTGGGCCAGTGGGGTCTGAGCCCCGGAGCTTGGGGGGGGTGCCCAACTTCCCCCTTCCTTCCTTGTAGTTGGGCACCGTGCCCGGTATTTCTCATGACTATCCTTTTTTTTTTTATTTATTTTTTTATTTTTTAGGCAGTTGGGGTTAAGTGACTTGTCTAGGGTCACACAGCTAGGAAGTGTTAAGTGTTTGGTCTGAGGCTGGATTTGAACTCAGGTCCTCCTGACTTCAGGGCCAGTGCTCTATCCACTGCGCCACCTAGCTGCCCATGACCATCCTTTCTAAGAAAGGGCATGGTAAGGGTTGGGATTGAGGGTAAGCTTGGCACCCCTCCCTCTGTCAGCCCCACACTCTGCTGGCTCTGTAACCTGGCTAGTGAGACCTGGGCTTCCCAGAGGGCCCTTCTCCCTCCTCCCTCAGCCTTGGTGGCCAGAAGGTCTCAGCACACCTTTGTCCTGTTCCCTTTGTTCATAGAAGTGGGTTTTTCCTGAGAGTTTAGTAGATTTTTGGAAAGGGACAATTATTTCCTGAAGTACAGAGCTATGGGACTGTATTTTGGGACCCAGGTCAGACATGACTGGCCTGGGGTATGCTCTCTGCTTCCAGGCTGGGGCTCCCTGGCCCTGGCTGCTTCCTCTCCCCACCGGAGGTGGGTGAGCTCCGTAACTCCTCTGAGCATCCTCCCCAACGCTCTCTCCTCTCTGGCAGCACCGTCTTCCCCAAAACATTCAGCACCTGCAGTAGGAACAACCTGGAGAATTTTGTTGGAAATAACATCTTCCAGACAAACTGCTTGACAAACTTTCCAAAGCTGGATGAGATCTATGGAGGGCCCGTGTGTGGAAACAGATTTGTGGAGCGTGGGGAGGAGTGTGACTGTGGCATCCCAGAGGTCTGTGGGTGTGTGGATGCGAGCGGGCAGGGCTGGGTCCGAAGTCACCCGAGTGTGGGGCATGGCCCAGGCGCATGGACGTGGGCTGGGCAGGGCAGGGCTCTGTCTGAAGTCACTCAAGTGCAGGGCACAACTGTGGACATTCAGGCTGAGTCTGAAGTCACTAGAACATAGACCTGGCTGGACAGGGCAGTGCTGGGTCTGAAGTCACCCGAGTGTGGGGCACGGCCATGTCTAAAGTCATTTCTGAGTGCAGGGTACAGCCGTGGGCACACAGATCAGTCCGGGCAGGGTCTGAAGTCGCTCCTGCTGTGGCACCCCAGCCAGCCTTGGTGGTGGCCACTCCATTTCTCCCCTTGGAGCGTGACCTAAAAATGGGGGTTGAGTTAGGAGTGAAGTGGGCAGTGTATGTTGGCAGCTATATGACTTGTCACCCTTCAGAGTAGGAGCTCTGGAACCCCAGGGGAACAGAAGGCACGGGCCCTTTAAAAGGAAGCCTGCCCTGGAGCGGGAGCAGGCACCTTCCTGACTGCTGGGATATCGCACACCACAGACCAGGCCCCTCACGGCTCTGTCTTCTCTTTGCAGGAGTGCACAAACCACTGCTGTAATGCCACCACATGCAGACTGGTCACAGGCGCCACATGTGCACATGGAGAATGTTGCCATGAGTGTCAGGTAAAGCAGCCGCCAAAACCTGTGGCCCAGAATGTTGGGGTTAGCCATGGTTCCCCTAGGGAAGAAGCATGCTCTGCCTTGTGTCCCTCTTAGCTCCAGCCCACCTCAAGTCTTTTCACTGTCAGGGACTGATGTGGAGGTTCAACACCTATTGTGGGCCAGGCTCTGTGCTGGGCCCTGGGGTGATAGAGTCCTCCTCACCCTCCAGGGGCTTCCATTCCAGGAGGGGCCGCAGCCAGGCCCCTCCCTTGGGAAGGGTGGGGTGGGGGTGGGGCAGGAGAATGCAGAGCAAGGGTGGAGCTGTGGGCGGACCCAGGAGCGATGGGTGGGGCCGTGCCCAGGACAGGAGCCTGGGATCATGCCTGGACCACTAAGGCAATTTTGTCCAGTGTAGACAAAAGCCCTCTTGGCTTTCCTTCAATCTCCTTGCTGGGTTCAGCTCACTCTGAGATCCATCCCAACTGGCCCCGTTGTTTCTTCCTTCCATCTTCCAGGCATGCCAGGCATGTCTTTGGCAAAAGGCCAGCCAATTGTACCATGGCCATATTGTCCTCTTGAGACAGGGCACCTTACCCTCTCAGGCCTCAGGACTTCCTTCCTGTAAGCTCCTGGTCTGTACTGGGCTGCCTTGCCTTGTAGACTTTTAGACCTCCTACTGCTGGCTGCTTTCTGACATATTTTGTCAGAGCATATGTTTGGGCATGTTTCTAACGGGCCTCAGATGTCTGGCACCCCAGCACCCCAGCCAGCCTTTGTGGTAGCCACTCTGTTTCTCCCCTTGGAGCGTGACCTAAAAATGGGGGCTGAGTCAGGAGTGAAGCGGGCAGTGTGTTGGCAGCTGTACAGAGAAGTCAGCAGTGCAGACTTTCTTTAGGGGCTTTGCCCAATAGTCCTGGGGAAGGTAATGAGAAACTGAATGAGGCTGGTGGGGGAAGAGAAAAGGGGATGGAAGAGGGAGACTTTGGGGAGCTGGCATTGCAAGGACCTGGCAGCCAAGTAGGCATGGAGGTGAGGAAGAGGACAGGGTCCAGGGTGACCCCCAGGTCAAATCTGGGGGCTAAAAGGATGTTGGTACCTCCAACAGATACAGAGCAGCTCAGAGTGAGGATCAGGGGGAGGGAGTGTCCAGCTGAAGGTGACCATTGGGTCTAAAATGGTACTGGAGCTCAGGAGGGAAGTGAGGGCTGGCTGTCCAGATGGGGGAGAAATCTGCCAAGAGATGATTGTGGGACTTCTGGGAGCACCAAGAGGGGGTATAGAGGAGAAAGAGAAAGGATCCAGGACAGAACTGTGGGGCCAGGGGGCGAAGGGTGGGATGACGGGGGACTCCCACCCTTAGTAGGCAAGGGGTGGATGAAGGGTAGCAATGGAGACTGAGAAGGTGTGGTCATAGCAGGAGGAAAACCTGGAGGGGGGAAGAGGGAAAGAGACAGAGATGAGGAAGGGGGGAGGGAGGGAGAGAGGAGAACACGGAGCTTAGCATCACAGAAGCTAAGGGATGGGGATGGGGTCAGCAGGGCCAAAAGAAGCTCTACAGATCAGGGAGGATGAGAATGAAAAGGGCCTTGGACCTCACTGAGAGCTAGGAGGCAGGAAATGTAGGTGGGGTGTCAATAAAAACAAAAGCCAGTGAATGAACAAGCATTTATGAAGCACCTACTGTATGCCAGGCAGTGTGCTAAGTGCTTTACAGATAGGTCATTTTATGGCAGAAACATGTCATTAAGTACAGATGAGGAGATGGATTACGGGGCCAAGGGAGCTTGATCTTGGGGGAGAACGGTTTCAGGCCAGTGCTGGTCCAAAGTGGACTCTAAGGAAGCAGAGTGCACAGCTGAGTCTCAGGGCGACAGCTTCTTCCAGGAAGACCTCCTTTGGAGGCTTCTCAAGACAGAGGACATGGGCAGGGTCTGTGGACAGCTGGAGCAGAGCCGATGGATGGCTGGAGCAGAGCCAATGGACAGCTAGCAGAACAATGCCAAGCTCATTTTGGATGAGGGGAGAGATGCTCTCCACCTGCCTTTGGAAAGATTTGGGGAGGCTGCGAAAGACTGAGGGAGCCATGCTGCAGGGCTGTTGGACCCCTGGTGACAGGGCATCTGCCGGGGGCCCAGACCCAAGGGTGAGGGTGCCCTGGGAGCCCTCCAGGAGGCAGCTTCCTAGTTTAAGCAACAACTGTTCATACCTGAGCAATGAGTCCAGTTGTTTGAAGCCACTGGAGCAGGGCATGGGCTGTCTGGGCCCTCCAATTTTGATGCCTGGGCCAGAGCGCCACCCTCCTATTTCTGGCCCTTCAGGGGGGATTGAAGATGAGGCAGAGAGGGTCAGCGATTGATGGGGCAGTTCCTGGGGGAAACAGGAGGAAGAAGGACCCAAGGGCTAGCCCATGCAGGGTGGGGAAAGCCAATCAGAGACATGGCATGGAGGAGCAGGGTGCTTAGGCCACCCTGAGAAGGAGCATCCAGCCCTCAGGTGGGTGACGTGTCCCTGTTGGGCATTGATCTAGGTGGTACCGCCCGGGCAGATCTGCCGTGAGGCTCAGGATGACTGTGACCTGCCGGAGTACTGTGATGGCCAGTGGGGAGAGTGTCCAGAGAATGTCTTCCAAGAAAATGGCATGCCTTGCCAGAATGGTTACTGTTACAATGGGGCCTGTCCCACCCACCAGCAGCAGTGCCAGGCACTCTGGGGCAAGGGTGAGCTGGGGAATGTGGGCAGGCATCCTGTCGAGGGGCTTCTAAGCTTCCTCCCTGTGGACCCCAGGACATCTGCCTCATCTGGGTCTGCGGGGTGGGGGGGCGTGGCGGGGGAGCTCCCAAGGAGAGAGGAGCTCGGGAGAAGGGCAGCCGGGGTCCAGGAAAGAGTCCATGGCCTAGAATCCCACGGAGACGTCAGCCCAGGAGATGGGGACATTCTCAAGCATGAAATTATGAAGAGAGAAAGGAATAAGGGGCGTGGCCTGCAGGGCTCCATGTGGACCCCCCTCACTGCACTTGGCCTCAGAGGGCAGAAGAGGGGAGCGACGGGGGGATATAGAGGAGCCAGGGTGGTCTGGGCTGCCCGGGAGCAGAGGCTAAGGCTCATCGGCCATGGGAGGTCAACCTGGGGCGGACGCCAACCTCACTCTGAAATGTCATCTCCTCTCATCCACGCAAAGAAATGGTGCAAAACTCTTGGGGGCCTTTGCGCCTCGTCCGGGTCCAGCCCGCCCCTCCCAGACCCCTCCCCTGCTGGGTCTGCCTCAGCTCAGTGAGCTTCCTCCCCGGCAGGTGCTTCTGTGGCCTCTGACAGCTGCTTCTGGCTTGACATCCAGGCAGGCTGCTTGGTATCATACCGACAGAGGTGAGTTGGAACGCTTCTTCCCTGGCTGCCGCGTGGTTTGAGGGGGACGCTGTCCTGCCCTGCACCAGCCACACACCCCACGAGGTTAGCCGGGATGGGCCTCCTGAATTCTGTTCCTTGCATTGAGGCACACTGTAGGGTCACAGATACCTGTTAGTGATGGTTGAGGCAGGGAGGGTGTGGTAACCTTGGCCCTCCTTGAATGGAAGGGTTGGGGAATGGGGCGGCCGAACCCGAGCCCAGCACCCGAGCCCAGCGCCTGAGTCTGGTGCCTGAGTCTAGTGCCCGAGCCCAGACCAATGCCCTGCCTGAACCTAGTACCTAAGTCCAGCCCCCAAGCTCAGCACCCAAACCCAGCACCATAGCCTAGCACCCAAGCCCAGCTCCTGAGTCCGGTGCCTGAGCCCAGCACCCGAGCTTAGCACCCAAGCCCAGCGCCTGAGTCTGGTGCCTGAGTCTAGCACCCAAGCTTAGCACCCGAGCTCGGCACCTGAGTCTGGTGCCTGAGTCTGGTGCCCAAGCCCGGCCCAATGCCCATGCCTGAGCCTGGCACCCGAGCCCAGCACCCGAGCCCGGCACGGCACTGCCTGGGGGATGGGCTGTCTGCTGGTTTGATTGCCCTGGGCTGAGCTGGTGGAGAGGCCCAAGGAGCCAGCCTGCTGAGGGAAAGCCTTCTCTCCTGGCAGTCTCAACAGATGTGGGGTCCTGCACTGCTCTGGGGGGATGGTCACCAACAGGGCCTATTGCACCATCCCCCTGAGTGGGATACCGTGCACCGTGGTGAGAGAGGGGAAAGATGATAAGCCTTTTGAGATGGTGGCCACTGGGACGAAGTGTGGAGAGCGGATGGTGAGTGTGGGCTGCTGGGGCCATGGCCCCCAAGGTCTCAGACCCCGGGAAAAGCCGTACCCCACCCCAACACATGAGCTGGGGGGGAGGGGAGGGGGCGGGGGGTATGGAGAGGAAAGCCTTATGGGTCTTAAGCAGAAATACATGGGCGGTAACCTCCACTTTGTCTGTCCAGCAGTGGGTCCTGTAGGGCAGCAGCTTGGGGAGGGCATGGAGACAGGGCTCCCCTAGACACCTGCCCCCCCCATCTTCCGCTAGGTTTGCTACAATGGTCGCTGTCAGGAGCTCCATGTCTATGGAGCTGAGAACTGTTCCAGCCAATGCAACGGTCATGGGGTGAGTTCACACTGCCCTCGTGGGTATGTCTGGTTTTGTGTGTGAGGCTGACCTTTTTCCCTTCCGTACAAAACACTTTGGCACCCTGGGGGTCCCTAGGGCTTCCCCCATCCAGGTCCTCCTCAGATGCTCTCTCCCACCCATGTTGCCTTTACTCTCTGCTTTCTTCCCTTTCTGGGATACGGTCTTGGATGGACACGTGGGAGGCTCATCTTCCAGTCTCCTTGCCCATGATGGCGTCTTCCTGGGGCGCCCTTCTCCTTCTCCATGTGCCACCGTCTCTCTATCTTGTGTATTGAGCTTTATTGACCCAGCTTGGTGCGGGTGCACCCAGACGGCCAGTCTTCTTCCGCCTTTATCCACCCTTTTGATTAGATTTCCAAGATACCAGCAGAATGCATTCTTACTGGCTCTCACTGAGGCCCGTTCCGTCCCTGCTCAGTGGGTCAGCCCCAGGGTCTCAAACTGTGGCTGAGAACACCCAGGCTAACCCTGTCAGCCCCCCACTCCCAGACCATTCTTTCTCTGTTGCATGCCTTGCCTTCAGTGGGCAGCAATAAGTTTTGTTTTGTTTTTAATTTGTGTATACCTTTGAGACATTTCATTAATGTTTTCGTTTTACATACCAACCCTTTCCAGCAGAGCCAATTTGTGAGAAGTCTCTCGTAACAATAGTAAAACTAACCAGAGTGACTTCCTCAGGGAGTGCAGGCAGCATCCCACACCTGTAGGTCCTCTCTGCTTTTAACAGAAATCTATCCCCCCAGCCCACCCCCTAAAAAAGTGAAAGAAACAAATTTCCTGTAACAAATATGCCGAGTCAAGCAGAACAGTCCCTTCAGTGCTACTGGCATGAGTCCATCCACTGTATGTCACGTCGGTGCGTGTGTGCTCTCTGTGGTGGTGACCAGTCTGGGAGGTAGCTGTGGAGTCACCGTCACCAACCGGCCTTCGTGGTCTTCTCTCCTTGGAAGCCAAGCAGCTTCTCCCTCCTTAGCCCCCAGCCCTGAAAACAACATCTGTGGCCACACGCTCTTCACTTGCTTAGTGGAGGCTTCCTGGCCTTGAGTAGTGCGTTTCTGTAGTCTTGGAAGGTCCTTATCTCTACCATGACCTAACCACATCTCGGTTTTTGTCTCCCGTTTTTGCTCGATGACCAACTCACCCCATGTTCTGTGGCATCTCAGGAACATGCTAAGACTCTCAGGCTCCCAGACTCCCCCTTCCTTGCCTTCACAGGCTACCCCCGATGCTAGCTTCTCCTTGTTTTCCCAGAGTCCACCCCCTCCCCACCCCAGCATCTTCTCATGAAGCTGAGGCGTCCGGGGGTACATAGTGGATAGAATGTTGGGAATGGAGTCAGGATGACCCGAGTTCAAATCTAACCTCAGATGCTTGTTAGTTGTGTGACCCTAGGCAAGTCACTTAACCTCTGTCTAGTTTCCTTAGCTGTAAAATGGGGATGTAAAATGGGGAGAAAATCTCCCAAGGTTTGTTGTGAGGATCACATGAGATGTTTGTCAAAGGTTTAGCACAATCTGCAGCACATAGTAGGTGCTTAATCCATCCTTCCTTCCTGACATGTGCACACAGTGCCACTGAGTCAAATGAGAAGTGGCCTCCTCTGTGCCCAGGCAGCCAGTGTAAACCTGTCCATTCATGGTGGACATTCTCCTGTGGTGCAACCGAGGCAGGTCTAGTGGTCTCAGAGGCCCAGCCTCTCAACACCTGAACCTATGAGCCCTGCCCGAGGCTCAAGCTTAGCTCTGCTGGGTGGGCAGTTTGTTGCTGGGCCTGAACTCCAAGCCTCGCTAGCCTGGCAGGAGCTGGCAAAACCTTGTGGAGCTAAGGGCCTCCTCCCAGGCACAAGGAGGCGTAGGAAGAAGGGGCTGAGGGCCGGGGGTTTATTCAGTGTCATGAGGTCACAGGCTCCTGGAGCCTGCAGAATGACAAGGGCACCTATCTTCACGCTAGTGTAGGTCAATCCCCATTTTTTGCAGATGAGACAAGTGGGCTCCGGAGAGGCTAAGAGATTTACCCTAGATGGAGGTTTGGGGGACACAGTGCTCTCCTGGCTCTCCTCCCTCTCTGACTGTTCTTCCTCTGTCCCTTTGCCGGATCCTCCTTCTGGTCATGCCCATGAGCTTTAGGCGTCCCTCGGGGCTCTGTCCTGGGCTTTCTTCTCTTCTCCCTCTCTACCACTTCGTTTGGTGATCTCATCAGCCCCCATGGATTAATGACCACCTTTGTGCTGATGGAGCAGCTACATGGCCCAGGAGATAGAATGCCAGGCCCAGAGTCCGGAAGACCTGAGTTCAAATGTGGCCTCAGACACTGACTAGCCATGTGACCCTGGGCAAGTCACTTTACTCTCTTTGCCTCAGTTTCCTCATCTGTAAAATGAGCTGGAAAAGGAAATGGCAAACCATTCCAGAATCTTTGCCAAGAACACCCCAAATGGGGTCATGAAGAATTGGACAGAACTGAACAATGACTGAACAGTGCTGAAGATTCTCCAATCTGCCTCTCTTGCCCCAGTCTCTCTCCTGGCCTCCAATCTTGCATCTCCAGCTACCTTTCAGACATCTCAAACTGGATGTTCAATAGACATCTTAAACTCAGTATGTGCAAAACAGAACTCATGATCTTCCCCTAAACCCTCCCTACCTCCTAGGTTCCCTATCCCTGTAGAGGGCAACATCTTGCTTGCAGTCCCTTGGGTTCACAACCTAAGAATCGTCCTGGATTCATCACTCTTTCTCATCCCCACGTCCAAAATGGTGGCCAGGCCTGTTGATTTCACCTCTGCAGCATCTCTCGAATACACCCCTTTCTCTCCTCTGACCCTGCCCCCACCCTGGTACAGCCCCTCCTCACCTCATCCGTGGACCATGGCAATAGTTGCCGGGGGGGTCTGCCTGCCTTCAAACTCTCCTCACTCCAGTCCATCCTCCATTTAGCCACTGAAGTGATTTTCCTCATGCTCAGTTTCATCCATACCACCTCCTGCTCAGTCAGCTCCAGGGGCTCCCTATCACATCTCCAAGGTCAAATGAAAATGCTCAAAGCCCTTTATAACTGGCCCCTCTTCCCTTTCCCTGACACGTACTCTCAGACCCAGGGACACTGGCCTTCTGGCTGTTCCCCATGCCTAGAAGTATTCCCCTCCTCTCCTCTGACCCCCCTGGCTTCCTCTAAGTCCCAACTAAAATCCAACCTTCTAGAGAAAGCCTTTCCCAGCCCCTCTTAATTTTGGCACCTTCCCTCCGTTCATTCTTTCCTGTTTATAGAGCTTGTTTGTACGTAGATGTTGGCTCATCTCTCCCATTAGATTGTCAGCCCATGTGAGTGGGGATTGTCTTTTGCTTCTTATTGTATCCCCAGTGCCTAGCATGCAGTAGGCATTTAATACATGCCTATTGACTGACTGAGGTCACAGTTGGTGTAGGACAGAGCCCAGAGTCAGATCCAGGTCTTTGCACAATTGAGTTATAGGGATGTGCCATCTTGACGATGCCAGCTACTCCCTGTGCATGGAGGCGTTGGTCGTGCTCTCGCCGTCTGATGCCCTGCTAATGCCCTTACAGGTTTGCAACCACAAGAGAGAATGCCATTGTCAGCCAGGCTGGGCTCCACCATACTGCCACCAGAAAGTGGCTGCCATCACCTCAGGTAGACACCCCCAATGGGCCACTTTGTGACGTGATTCCCCCCACACTGGCCTCCTCACCACATTGCACAATGCCTTACACGAAGCAAACATGGGATCGGGGGCAGGGATTGGCCAGCCATGCTTGGGGCAGCCGGATCGGTGGGCTGTCAAAGGGCAAAAATGGGCATTGTCTGCAGTGAGCAGCCCAGAAGAAGCATTGACTTGGGCCCCTGGCTTGAGACATGCAAGTCTCCCTTTCCCAGCCAAGTCAAGTGGGCCTAGGAGGGTGTGCCCCCCGAAGAGCCAGGGATTGTGGTCCCATCACCCTCTCTCCTTTGTCTTCCTCATCTCCAAGCCTGGATGAACAATCTGCAGCCTGAGTGACCCAAACACTTTGCTGGGCCATGCCTGTTTTAGGGTCTAGTCCCCACTCTCCTTGACCTGTCACTCAAGAGACCACTGGCTGCCTACTGGTATAACGTAGACGGTCTTGCTCTCTCAGTGTTCGTCAGGCAGGAGAGACCACGAGGGGATAACCGTAATCTGGGCATACTGGGGAGGAGGAGAGCTGGAGAGCAGAGTGAACTAACCAGAGTCTGGGGGGGCACTGAGCCAGCCTTGCCATGGGCTGGGTCACTGCTGTTGTACAAGTGAGGAAGTACCAGAGGCAGAGAAAGACCCAGCTCAACCACAGACCCCCGCGGCAAGCCCTGGTCTTAGGGCTGAGACTCTTCCCAGGCAAGGAAGGCTAAATGCCCAGAAGTCAAGAAGGTGCCCTGCCCTCTGTCCTCAGGCTGACTGGGCAGACCTGGCTTCAGCCAGCTGGGGTCCAATTCTGTAACATTCCTCTTGTGGGTCATTCCCTTGGTTCTGCTGATTCAAGGGCTCAGGGAGGAAAGGGGAATGGAGATGGCATCCATTGGCCTGGGCTGTTTCAAGCATGAAAGTTCTGCTGCAAGGCTGCTCCAGTTTGCAAAGTGCCTGGCCCACAGAGGTGCTTAATAGCTCCCTCCTCCTCCCAAGGGGCCCAGGGTGTGCTGGTAGGGGTGCTGGTGACCCTGGCCGTGCTTGTCCTCCTGATCGGCGTGGCTTTCATTCTCTACAAGCGTCGGATGCTGCCCCCTTTGCAGAAGAGGTGAGAACCGTCCAGGGTGTAGATTCTTGCTGGCTGCCCTGGCCCAGTGGGTTTGGCTCCGGGGAGGAGAAATGTTCTCTGGGTCTGTCTGCAAGGAAACACAGCACCGTGAAAGCACACCTGAGTACTGGCAGTGTGCAGAGGTGGGGAGGGAGGCCAGAAGTCTGGTGACAGGCATGCTCGTGGGCATACTGGGGAACGCGTTAAGGTTTGCCTTATAACCATCTGTCGTCTTGAACGAGCCAAGCACAACCTTGAGGGGGAGTGGCTTCAGCCCCATTTTTCTGAGGAGGAGAGTCAAGCTCAGAGTGGGTTAGTGACTTGCTCATGGTCATACAGCTCACAGTCCCAGAAAAAGGGTTTGATCTTGAGTTCTGTATTCCCTCCTCCCTCCTCACACAAGAGCTTGCCCTCCCCAGCTGCTGGTGGGAATCATTTGCTCTCGATAAGGGGAGTTCAGATTGAGCCCAACACACCAGGGTTTTCAGCCAAGAACAGCATGGGGATTCCAGCCCCGTCCCTGCTGGCACGGGGAGGGAGGGGCAGTGCCAGGACCTTTGGCTTCAGTTTGGCTTAGCCCTTTCCTTAGACTTTCTGAAGGGGCCTATGCTTTGTGGGAGTTGTGGCTTTGTGGCATGGATACACACCAAGAGCAGACAGGCTCAGCTCTTTTATGTCAGGGATGCTTGCCGATGCCTGGCAATCCCCTGTAACATGGTGGGTGACTTTGGATAAGCTATGTCCCTTCACTGAGCCCCTGTTTCCTCATCTATAAAACGGAAATGATTTCCCAGCTCACATTTCAGCAGTGGTTCTCAGGGGCCTAGCAGGAGGGGGATGTGTCAGGGTGACTGGCGTGTGTGTGTGTGTGTGCGCGTGTGCACAAAGGGAGGATGCCTGTTTGCTCAGAGCCCCTAGCCTGCCACTCCCCCTGCTCACCCCAAGCACCTTGGCACCCAAATGCAACTGAGCCCTCCACTCACCCCCAGTTTTCACCCTTTGCCTCCCTCAGGAAAATTGCGACAGAAACCCCTTCTGGCCTCTCCAACCCCCTGTTCCACGAAGGTGGCTGCAGGGCACCAGGACTGGTCTCTACAGCATCGGCTGCCCAGCACCCTAAACCCCGGTCTGCTCTGGTCATCCCTGGCCAGCCACCCCCTGCGGTGAGTACAACAGTGATGGAGCATGGCCGGCCTACTGTGAGCAGTCTTAGGAATGGCCGTCCTTGCAGGTTTCCTCTGGGAGCTCCAGTTGCGCTGGGTGCCTGGTAGATGAGCCGTGATAAAGGTCCAGCCCAAGGAGGACCTCTTGCACTCACTCTCTCTTCTGCAATGATGGGCCATTATTGCCATGGCCCCTGACCTCCTGGTGCAGGGATAGCTTGGACACTGAGCTTCCTCCCAGGAGAGATATCCTCTGAATCCAGGCATAATCATGTGCTACCAAAGCACAGACCAGCTGAGCTTTCCCCTGGCTGACTGGGCCTTTCGAGCAGATACATTTTAACCCTGCCTTCTGTGGCTTCACAGCCTCCTGCAGCAGCCAGACCCCAGACACCCTTCAGAGTGCCCGTGTACACCAGGCAGGCCCCTCAGCAGGTAAGCCGTGGCCTGGCAGCTGCACTTTCTGATGGGATCTGGGGGGACCTGCTTGATGGCAGAGGGAGCCAGAGTGACCCAGCCTTCCTCTGAGAGAGCAATGTCAAGCTCCACCTTTGGGGAGGTGGAGGGGGGGAGTCAGGGAGCAGAGTCACGTCCAATTCCCTGGGAAAGAGAAACAATCCAGTCATTCCTGGGTCTTCGGGAGGGCTCCCAAAGAGGTGAAAGGACTCGATTTGACCCTGGGCCTTTGCCTTCAAACCCCATGTTCTCCCAAAGACTTCCCTGGGGTATCCCCTCTCTGGGCCTTTGTGGACATTCTCCACGAGCCACAATCCCACCTCGTGATGCTCAACGGCTCGAGACGTGGTCAGCCGCACAGTCCAGGTTGGGGGCCAAGCCAGCAGCTAAGGCTCCCATGGGCTGAGCTGGCCTTGGTCCCCCACTGCTCAGGGCACCTCACGCTTCCCACCTCCTCTTTCTCTCCCTCTCAGAGCAAACCTGCGCCACCCAGCAAACCACTGCCAGAGCTGAAACCTAAGCAGGTGAGGCAGCTCTGGGGTCAAGGAGAGCACTCCCCTGAAGGAAGCAGACAACTGCCTTGCCCCTCTCAGACACCTCTGTCCCCGAACTGAGCCCACAATCTCAGGCTTTCCACCTGCTAGGAGGCAGGGTTAGGGTTGCCCATTCTGGCTGATCCATGTCACCCTGTTTCGTTCATGTCTTCTTTCTGACCCACACTTCCTGTCCTCGTGTTGGGGGGCCAGGAACCATACAAGAAACAGCCTCTGCCATCTTACTCCAAGGCATCTCCAGCCTCGCCACTGAACACCAGGCCCATAGCATCCTCTTCTTTCTGCCCCACCTAAGAAGGAGGAAGGAGATGGTATTAACCCAGCCCGACCTGAGTTTGGGGGTGTCCTGCAGCTCTGTGGTTCCCACCCTTAGAGGTGAAGGGCTGACCCCTCCCCCGTCTGCCTGAAGCCCTTGGCTAGCTGGTTTGTAGGGCTGGATCCATCCTGCAGTGGTGGGTCAACAGGCCTGTCCCCATTTCAAAAAGCACACCACTTCCTTTCTGTGATTGGCTCCACCATAGGCCTTGCGGAGCTAGGGTGCTGGGGGCTCTCTGGGGGGAATTAGAGAGCAGGGCTAGGCCTGGGAAATGTGATGAGAGTACGTGTGACCTGACTGTGCCTTTCAGGTGGTCAAGCCAACTTCTAGTCCTCCACCGCCACCTGTAAAACCTCCAGCTGTGACTTCCTCGAAGCCCCAGGTAAGATGCTCTTGGAAAGACCCATGAGGCTGTTAGCTCGGGGCATCTGTGCCCCTGCAGAGTTGAGGCTAGCTTTTGAAAATCATGCCCATGGAGGGTGCTGTCCAGGTCTGACCTTTGTGCTTAAGAACTCACCTGGAGTGACAGGTGCATTCTGTTCCTGCTGCTGCCCTTGTGAATGTGGGGTTCCCATCTGCCCCTGCAAGGCCTTTTATCTCAGGAAAGTGAAAGCCCAGTTTGACCCTGGGTCATCATTGTGTCCATGGGGCCTAATATTGGGGTACCCAGTTACCAGCTTGTGGGGGAGTAAGCTCCCTAAGTGAAACACGCTTTTCAAGATAGTACCTTTTCCTTCTCCAAGGGAGCTGGTCCCAAGGTGACTCTGATGCCACCAGGCCAGCGCAGGTGACTGGAAACCTGGGCCCTGAGGCCGAAGAGACTTGGGGCCGAGACCAAGAAATCAGCTGGCTGCTTTGATGGTCCCCAATCCTGGCAGGCCTGGACCATGTTTGATGTCACAGTCAGTCATCTGCAATTCAGGGGGAGGAAGGAGTGACCTGACTGGCTGTTTCTCCCCTCCTACACCCTGCATCTGGCAACCCTCAGACATTCCCCAGGGCAGGGGCTGCTGTTTGCCTGTCTCTGGAGAGCCAAGACCTTCCCAGAGAAGGCAAAAGGCCAGCCCTGAGCTGGTGCCCAGGCATTATTCTGCACCTGCAGGCCTTTCCCCTCTTCGCTTCCCATGGAGTCTTTGGGGCTCTCTGCAGTCCTACAGGCCACTCTGCCTGGTACCTGCTCACAGGAACAGTGGGCCCCACCCCTTCTGCACCCTCAGTGGACAGTCCAGGCTGCTGCACACCATGGGGTCTGTGAAATACTCGCTATCTCCCGTTTCCTCAAGGGCCCTTAAAGACAGCCTTTGCTCTTTGTGTGCAATGGACATTTCTCAGGGACAGTGGTTTCACTCCATTCATTTCAAGCAGTTCCCAAAAGGCTGCAGTTTTCCCTGTCTGCTAAGGATCCAAGAACTAATCAGCCTCTAAGTCAAGGTCCCTGTCAGGCACCCTGGCCAGCTATGAACAGTATGCCAGCCAGACTGCCCACGGCTTTACTTTGTCGTGGGACCACACTCACTTGCTTTAGTCTGAATCAGGTTTGACATGCAGCATGGTCCAAGGCGACAACCTCTTTGGGGGACCCCCCAACATGCTTGGCCTAGGGGCTGGGGTTTCTGCTCATCTCAGTTTTTCAGAGAGCCGTATCTGCTGCTCCAGCAAGACTGAAGGTGCTTTTTTGATTAGTCTTCATTGCTGAAAATGCTGCATTTTATCCTTAAATTATTCTATGAGAGAATTTTCCAGAAAAAGGGGAAATGCCATGAATATTTTTATAGCATTAAAAACTCAAATTAAAAAAAAATCCTCATCTTTAATCTGCCTATTTTAATGGGGCTTTATGGAGTCTGGAGCTTGTCATTTTGATCACATTTACAGATTAGTTTTGTGAAAATAAAATACCTGAAAGGGTCTTGTGCCTGGGTGGTCTTTCTCTGTCCTTGTTCTCCCTTCACAAGGTCCAGCTTTCAGCCCAGGTGTGAGTCTGGAGGAGGGGAGATCTCTTTCCACAGGGTTCTCAGTAACTGCTCCTTACTGTTCTTGATAGTAAGGGGTCTGGCTGCTCTGACACCATGACCTCTCCTGCAGAATGGGTGTGTGGGCTGCCCCCCCCCACTGAGGGCCTGGATTCCCCAGTGGTCTCTGGGTCCTGTGAGCCTCACCTATTCCCTGAGCTATAGGTGTGTGTTTGGGAGGAAGGGTTTGGGAGCTCCAGGACAGCGAGCATTTGCACCAAATCTTGACCAGAGAAAGCCAAGTGAACTCATTTAACATCTAGGGTGTCTCAAGGGGGTCTCTGATCCCAGAAGCCAACCTGACCAGTCTGGCCTGTAGAAGCTGGCACTTGGATAAGCCACATCATCCTCAATGGGGGCCTTGGGCATCCAAGCTTGGCTTGGTAGGGACCTGCCTCAATTCTTACAGTGTGGGGGTGGGATGGCCAGGGTCTGTCATTCCCAGCTCAGGAAACTCCAGTGACCAGAGGGAGCAGGGACCACCTGGAGGATCTCATACAGGTACCCTTTGGGGCTGCCTCCCACTGTCCTACCCCATCTAAGGATCCAAATGTCTGGCTGGGCTCTGCAGCCTTCACTGATGCCCCAAACTGCTTCTGCCACGAATTTTCTGGGCACTCTATAGGAATGAATGGAAGAGGAGACAGGTAGAAAAGAGAGGCCCTGCTCTGTGCTCTAGAGGACCAGGACCAGGCATTGGCACACACACTCTCCTGCAATCAGTTCCTGTGGGTTTGGTTCCTCTGGACAGGGGGGCTTGCACGGGTATCCCCAGAGCTGATGGGAGGGCCAAAGGCCAGAGCAGCCCTCCCAAACAGGAGGATGGGAAGCTGGCCAGGTAAATCACCAGTGAGCCATTTGGCTCAGCCCCAAGGCCCCCTGGGCGTGGTCAGTCGGTGAGCACCCAGTAAATGCTTTGTATGTGTGCTGTGTGGGGGTTACAAAGGTGACCCTGCTCCCCAGAGCTCCCAGCCCAAAGGGAGACCACGTAGAAGAGCTGGGATTGTCTCGGAAGGCACGAACATGAAGGGAGTTGAGAAAGAGTCTTGAGAAGCCTAGAGGCAGAGGCAGAGTCTGAGTCTGAGCTGGGTTACAAGCTGGTCAGGGGCTGGCCGGGTGCTGGCCGGTCGGAAGGAAGGAGATCGAGGGAACATGAGACCCATAGGTGGCAAGAAACCTGCTGGATGGGGGTGGGGCCTCTGAGGCCATCTCCTCCGCAGACCAAGCTCTTGTCTGACCAGGCACAATGCTGCCAGGTCAGGAAGGGCTGGGTTCGAGTCTTCCCTCTGAGGCCTCATCCTTGGCCTCTCGCAGGCTATTAAATATAGTTGCACTGGTGGGCGAGCCCAGTGCCCTCCTTTTAGGGGGAGGAAATCGAGGCAAACTTACCTAAGCCCACACAGGCAGGAGTTTCTGCCGCAGGACTTGAACCCAGGGCTTCCTAGAGACCTCTCTAGTCCAGGGCTCTGAGCTGCCTAGACAGACCCTCCCTTCAGAAGCGCCCTCATTCAGGCTAGTTGACAGGCTGGGGAACAGGCACTGGGATTTGCACCCAGATCCAGGGTGGAGGAGCTCCCTCCCTGTACCAGTGAAATCTGGGATCTGGACTGAGGCCCCCACTCCCAACTTCGCAGGCACATGGGTGCTCAATAAATGCGAGTGGGCTGACCCATGATAGAATGACCAACCACCAGGTGGAAGGGTCTAGCCCCGCCCTCTTCATTCTGGCTCCGCCCCTCCCCCGCCCCACTGGTGTACTCTGGTCCCGCCTTCGAGCCCGCCGGACCCCGCCCCTTCAACCCTAGCCCCTCCTCCAGCTCCGCTCCGTGTCGCCACCCCTCCCCCTTCTGCCCAGCCCTGCCTCGCCCACTACTTTGCTTTGGCCGCGCCTTCCAGCCCCGCCCCTCCATGTCCTGGTTCCTCCCTTCTTCCCCTCTCACTACTTTGCTCTGACCCCGCCCCTTTCCGCTTAGGCCCGCCTCCGGCCTGCCTCTTGTCCCCCCCCTGTCCCAGCATGGCCCCACCCCTTCTGCCCTGCCTCGCGCCCCGGCCTCGCCCCCAACTCCCGCCCCCACCCGCTCCAGCCCCGCCTCCGTCTCCTCGTTCCATTCGGCTCCGCAGGTGCCAGCCCCCAGCTTCAGGGCCAATCCGTTCCAGCCCCGCCTCTCTGTGTCCCCGCCCACTGCCCTGGCTCCGCCCTCGTCTCGCCTTAGGCCTGGCCTACTCGCAGCCTTTCGACGCAGGGCCCGCCCCCGCTCCGCCCTGGCTGGTCCTCGCTCCATTCTGGTCCCTCCCCTCCCTTGCCCCGCCTGCGGCGCGGCCCAGCCCGGCCCCCGTCCACCCCTGACTTCTTCCTTCGCCGATTTATGTTCCTCCGGGGCCGCCGTCGCCGTTTCCCAGCAACGGCGGCTCCAGGACCACTGCTCGGGCGGGCCGAGCCATGAACCGGCCTGGGCGCACGGTCCCGGGCTCGCTGCTTTCCGCGCCCCTGCCGCTTACGGCGCTCCACCACCTCTATGCCTGGGTGGACAGCGTGCCCTTCAGCCGCCCAAAGCGCCACCTGGCCCGGGACTTCAGCGACGGTGGTGAGCCAGACGGCGCCGAAGCGGGGCCGGCCTGGAGACTGAGGCTGGGCCGGGGCCCGGAACCGGAGAGCGAGGGGTTGCACCGGGTTTTTAATTGGCTGCGGGCCTGTTAGGGGTCAGGACGCCATCACCTGGCATTGACTCAGCCGAGGGAGGGGGCCGGTCTCGAGGCAGCCGGCGTGGCGGCCCGGGGATTGGCTAGAGACAGTGAGGGGCGGGGTCCGTCACTAGGCGGGGGGGCGGGGCGGGGATGCAGCACGACCATTGGATGCGGCATGACAAGGGAGGGGCCGGTCACCATACCTCCGGCAATGCACCCTGCGGATTGGCTGGAGGGAGGCAAGGGAAACTCTGCTGGGGGGTTGGCTGCAGCTCTGACCCAAAACTGCTGGACCGTCTGTCTCGTGAAGTTCGCGTTCCCTGAGTGCCTGGGGCTGGAGTCTTGGAGTCGACTTCATCGAATTCAATTCGATTCCAGGGGCATTTAAGTGCAAAGCGCTGAGGATACCAAACCAAAGCAAAAGTGTGAAACTCCTCCCTTGACCTCGAGCTCACATTCTTGGGGGGGGGAGCCGGGGCTGGAGAGGATGCAACTGGTACAAAGTAGCGGACCGTGAGTCTTTGTTGCAGTTCCCGCTTCCTTCGCCTTCGGCGACAAAAGTAGCACTGGTTTTCTTCTGAATTCCTTGCAGTGATGATTGCAGAGATTGTGAAACATTTTCAACCCAAACTTGTGGAAATGCACAACTACATTCCGACCAGTAACACCGAGCAAAAGCTGAGCAACTGGAGCACTCTGAACAGGCAGGTGCCAGGAGCGGGGGTGGGGGGCTGGGGGAGCTGTACGGGCTGAGTCTGTCCCGGGTGCATTGGACACCACGCCGGCTGGGTCTGTCCCGGGTGCAGTAGGTGCTGTGCCGGTCGCGCCATGCACTCTCCTCCTAACAGGAGCAGGCTGCCAGGGTCATACTTACCAGTCTTCGGAGCCCACCCGGATAAACATAGAGACTAGCCGATCGGGAGGTGCAAGCACTCGAACTTTATTCAGAGGCCATCACAGCAAGGCCAAGCAGGAAAGCCAGAGCAAGAGAGCAGGAGCAAGAGAGAGCGAGCTCCGACCCCTACCGCCCCTTATCTACCTTCCTAGCTCCTCCTCCTCAGCCCGCCTACCAGTGAATGATTGTAGGACCAGATACCGGCAGGGGATGTCTGGGGTTAGCACTGCACCAAGGGAGAGGACGTGACAAAGGAAGCTCGTTCTCTGCCGTCCCACTCCCACCTGGCACAGCCCCCTGCCTCAGGAGCATGTGCTCCGGCTACTTCCCCGTATCCTGTTCCTACTCCAGTTCATCACAACTCCACATGGCACAGCCCCCTGCCTCGGGAGCGTGAGCTCCGGCTACTTCCTAATATCTTGGCCCTGCCCCATCTTGCCACAACCCCCACGTGGCACGTAGCCAACATCAGACAATCCCTCACAAGGTACCACGGTTTAGGCTTCTTTGTTTCTCCACAATAGTGTGAGGTCTCCAAACACTTGCCAGCTTTGGGTTCGGGTTGAGGCTGGGCTGAATGACCACAAACCAACCAAGTCAGGTTCAGAGGGAGATCAGATAGCTGCCTTCAGGTGTTTGAAAGGTTTTCCGTGGGACGGAAGATTAGCCTTGTACTGCTTGGCCCGGAGGGCAGACTCAGGGGTAAAAGGGGGTGGAGGTGAGGGAACAGATTTCAGGTCCCCAAAAGGAAAAGCTCCCTAATGGAGATAGATATCCACAAGTTCCCTGTCACTGGAGGTCATCCCCAAAGGACCCTTGACCACTTGAGGATGTTGAAGAGGGGCCCCCTTCGAGCTGTGCTTTGGACTTGTAGGTCTCCTAGCTCTGATTTGCCCGCAGGCCTGCCTCAGTAGAAAGGAGGGAATCCATGTTATCCTATGCCATTCCCTCCAATCTGGGCCGTGAATGCTCTCCTTCCTATTTCCAGCCTGCTGTGTTTAAGGCAGGTGGTTTTTCTGGGAAACCAGAAACATAGGTTTGTATCGAGACTTCAGGGCTCTTTCCAACATCCATGACAGGGCTATTCCTTGGTCCTCCCTGGACAGCTTTGTGCCCTGAATTTGGACCTCTGCCTTCCCAGGTGCCCATTGGTTGAGCTGGCAGGAGGTGCAGGAGGTGATATCTGTGAGGCTTGTCCGAGGCTGACAGCAAGTAAGAGAAGCCTGTTTAGAGCCCAGTCGTCTTCTGATTGCTTTTCAGGAAAGTGTTCCCTAAACTACGCTTCTGTGTCTCAGAGGAGGACATTAGGAAGGTCGTCATCAGTGCCCCGGGGGCCATTGAGTCTGTGCTGTCTACGTTGAGGCAGAAAGTGGAAGAAAAATGCCAAAGGAAGGCCATCCAAGAGGCCAGGATGAACACAAAGGTGTGTCCCTAGGTCCTCATCCTCCTAGGGCACTGCCGGGGCAGGGGGGGTGCCCTAGGGGAGACATGGAGGGGAGAGATGCAGGCATTTTGGGGGCTGCCCAGGCCACCTGGTACCTGCATATCTTCTCCTGAAAAAGGTGCTGGGGCTGGGCTAGGGGGCCATGGGTGGGCTCCCATTCCTCCCTGCCTGTCACCTGCCTTGGTTCCTGACCCAGGCATGAGAGGTACAGGGAACACCAGTACTTCATGCACCCTTGGCTCCAATGTGTATGTGTGTGGCCTGATGACAGTCCCATGCCCTCTCCAGTCTGTCCTCCAGCAGCTGCGAAACTAAGAGTCCTCAGACATAACTCTGACCCCAAACCTCTGATGGCTCCCCATTTCCTCGAGATAAAAGAGACATTCCCCAGCTTGACATTTGTCCCCTCCACCGTCTGGCCCCCACCGCCCCTTCTCATCTTGTTCCAAACTCTGTTTTGGTCAAACATGCTAATCCCCTGTGCGTACCTCCAAACTCCTACCTCCCAGTCTTTGTGCACAAAGGGTCCCCTGATGCCTTTTTTTTAAATCACTTTAATTTTATTTTTATTGCCAAATTCTCTCCCTCCCCCTTTCTTCCCCCACCCATTGAGAAGGCAAGAAAAATAGAACTCATTACAGATATGTATAGTCATGCAAAACAAATATCCACATTAGTCATGTTCCTCCTTGCCCCCAAATAAGTCAAGAAAAAGAAAAGAAAGAGAAGAAAATGTGTTTCCACCAGCTCTCTATGTGGAGGTGCTTCCTCATGAGTCTTGGAATTGTGGTGGCTCATTGTACTGATCAGAGTAGCTAATTCTTTCACAGTTCATTAATGTTATAGTATTGCTGTTACTATGTACAATGTTTTTCTGATTCTACTCACTTCACTTTGCATCAGTTCATGTAAGTCTTCCTAGGTTTTTCTGAAAGCATCCTGCTCATTTCTTACAGCGCAGTAACATTTCATCACAATCATATATCACACCTTGTTCAGCCATTTCCTCACTGATGGGCATCCCCTCAGTTTCCAGTCTTTGCCTCCCCAAAAAGAGCTGCTATGAATATTTGTGTGCTTTCTTCTTTCGTTGATCTCTTTGAGATGCAGACCTGGTAATGGTAACCCTGGACCCTTTAGGGTAGGCCCAGTTTAATAGCTTTTGGGCATAGTTCCAAATTGTTCTCTGGAATGATTGGACTAGCTCCCAGTTCCACCAACAGTGTATTAGTATCCCTGCTTTTCCACATCCCCTCCAGCATTTGTCATGTTCCTTTTCGGTCATGTTAGTCTATCAGATAGGTGTGAGGTAGCTCCTCAGGCTTGTTTTAACTTGCATTTCTCTAATTATTGGTGATTTAGAGCATTTTTTTAATTAAACTATTTTTTTAACTTTTAGTTTTCAACATTCACTTCCATAAGATTTTGAGTTTCAAATTTTCTCCCCCTCCCTCTCCTCCCCGTCCCCAAGACGGTGTGCAATCTGACTCTACTTATACATTCATATTAAGTATGTTTTCACGTTAGTCATTATGTAAAGAAGAATCAGAACCAAGGGGAGGAACCACAAGAAAGAAGAATCAAAACAAAACAACAAAAGAAAAGAAAAGAAGAGCAAATAGTCTGCTTCGATCTGCATTCAGACTCCAAAATTCTTTCTCTGGATGTGGATAGCTTTTTCTGTCGTGAGTCTTTTGGAATTGTCTTGAATCATTGTATTGCTGAGAAGAGCTAAGTCTATCAAAGTTAGTCATTGCACAGTGAGGCTGTTACTGTGTACAATGTTCTCCTGGTTCTGCTCACTTCACTCAGCATCAGTTCATGTAAGTCTGTCCAGGTTTTTCTGAAGTCCACCTGCTCTTCATTTCTTACAGCAAAATAGTATTCCATTACATTCATATACCACAAATTGTTTAGCCATTCCCCAATTGATGGGGCATCCCCTCAATTTCTAATTCTTGGCCACCACAAAAAGAGCTGCTATAAATATTTTTGTATATGTAGGTCCTTTTCCCATTTTTATTATCTCTTTGGAATACAGCCCTAATAGTACTATTGCCGGGTCAAATGGTATGCACAGTTTTATAGCCCTTGGGGCACAGTTCCAAATTGCTCTCCAGAATGGTTGGATCAGTTCACAACTCCACCAACAATGCATTAGTTCCAATTTTCCCACATCTTCTCCAACGTTTATCATTTTCTTGTTTTGTCATGTTAACCAATCTGATAGGTGTGATGTGGTACCTCGGAGTTGTTTTGATTTGCACTTCTCTAATCAAAAATGATTCAGAGCATTTTTTCATATGACTATAGATAGCTTTAATTTCTTCCTCTGAAAACTGCCTGTTCATATCCTTTGACCATTTATCAATTGGGGAATGACTTGTATTCTTATAAATTCAACTCACTTCTCTATGTATTTTAGGAATGAGGCCTTTATCAGAGCACTGGTTGTAAAAATTCTTTCCCAGCTTTCTACTTCCCTTCTAATCTTGGTTGCATTGGCAAAAGCTGTTTAATTTAGTGTAATCAAAGTCATCCATTTTAGAACATTTTTTTTCATATGGCTCTTGATAGCTTTGATTTCTTCTTCTGAAACCTCCTTATTCATATCCTTGACCATTTATCAATTAAATTTTTCTGCTTGAAAATTTGGTTCAGTTCCCTATGCACTTGAGAAATGAAGCCTTTATCAGAGAAACTTGCTGCAGATCCCTCCCCTTTCCTCCTTTTCTTCTCATTTTTAGCTTCATTGGCTTTGTTTGTGAAAAAAGAAATTATGTAATTGAAATGATCCATTTTACCTCCTGTGAACTGCTTTATCTCTTGCTTGGTCACAAATTCTTCCTCTCTCCATCGATGTGACAGATCATTTCTCCCATACACACACACATCACTAACTGGTTTATGTCTCAGTCAGGTCCTCTTTTGGAGCTTCTCTTGGTGTATGGTGTGAGATTCTGGTATTCACCTAGTTTCCGCCAACCTACTTTGCAGGTTTTGTCACGTAGAATGCGCTTGCTGCAGTCCCAGGGATCTTTAGGACGTGAGGTCACTGTGGTCATTTAGGAGTGCCTCATCTGTCCCACTGCTCCTCACAGGTGCCTTGCCTCATCTGAGATCTGGCACCAGGAGCCACCTTCCTTCCCGTTTGTTTTCACTGATTTTCTTGACATTCGTGACCTTGTCTTCCTCCAGAAGAATTTTATTTTATTATTTTTTCTTAAAGTAATTTTATGGTAGTTTGATGGGTGTGGCACTGAAAGGATAAGTGGATTTAGGTGGTATTGTCGCTTTTAGTGTATTGACTCAGCCTGCCCATTATTTCTCTAATTCTTTACACCTGTCTTTATTTATGTGCTTGTGTTCATTTAGTTCCTGTGTACGTCTTGACATGTAGATTCCCAAGTATTTTGAACTGTCTGTAGTGATTTTAAATGACACTTTTCTTCTGTCTCTTCCTGTTAAGTTTCCTTGGTAATAGACAGAAATGCAGATGATTTATGTGGGCTTCTCACATCCGAAAGGCGCCTTGTCTCCTTTTGCCTAGGAGAATACCTCGCTCACTTCAGAGGGAGCGTGATGCCTGGCACATTTTGGGTGCCAGAGGAGAGGGAGACCAAACCTGTGATTTCATTGGTGTAGGAAACTCCTGGGCACTGACTGCTCGGCCACATCTGATCTTGGAGCCGGGGGCAGTCTTTGCTTGATACTTATTTGTGGGACTGAGTAGAATTCAATCTGCTCACTGGTATGAGAGATACACATCTGGGTGTATCGAGTAGACAGAGTGCGAGACTTAGAGTAAAGAAGACCTGAGTTCAAATCTGTCCTCAGACACTTATTAGCTGTGTGCCCTTGGGCAAGTCACTTGCCTTCTATCTACCTCAGTCTCCTCATCTGTACAGTGGGGATAATAACAGCATTTACCTCCCAGGGCTGTTGTGAGGATCAAAGGAGATAATCGTTATAAAACACTTGGCACACGTTGGTGCCACATATATGCTTGTTGTTTGTGGTTATTTGGTCATGTCTGACTCTCTGTGACCTTGTTGGGGTTTTCTTGGCACAGATGCTGGAGGGGTTTGCCATTTCCTTCTCTAGTTCATTTTACAGATCAGAAAACTGAGGCCAACAGGGTGAAGTGATTTGCCCAAGGTCACACAGCTATTATGTCTGAGGCCAGATTTGAGCTCAGGAGGATGTCTTCTTGACTCTTGGTCCCACTCTGTCCCCTGTAGTGCCACACAATTGCCCCACATAAATGCACACTAATATTATGAGATGGCAGTAAAGCATTCAGTAGGACATGATCACGTGCCTTCCTCCAGAGCCTCCATTGGAAGGCATTAACCTAGGCCACCCCTGCATGGGCCCCTGCCCTCTCCTCTTTGGCTTTTATCTGTTGTCTTCCCCTATCAGAGTGTGTGCCGCTCAGGCTGACACAGGTCTTTCTCTTTGCTTGTATATATGTCCCCAGCACTGGCCAGAGTAATTGCTGAGCCAATCTTTGTCAGTAGCACGTCGTAGGAAGGCCTTAGCATTGAGAATGAAAAGTGATCATTGTTCTCCTTGCCCTCTTTGGCCACATCTGGGCACCAGGGGCCGTTCTCCTCCCCAGGATGTTTGGGAAACAAGATAGCAAAGCCACGTAGGGGTTACTGTCTTAGCCTTTATCCCTTAAAAGTTGTAACTGGAAATGCAGACTTCTCCAAGGGAAAGAAAGCTTGTGACGGCGCCCCACTCTTCCCCACGGCCCTCCTTGGTTCCCCCAGCGTAGCCACTGGTTCCATTTTCAGGGTTCAGCCCCAAAACGGTGTTTTCTTGCCCTCCAGAGCATTTGGGCCTCGTGTGTCCACGGGTTCCCTGAGGCCCTTCTCCTATGCTTTGTTTTGGCACCAAAATGAACAGAGGCTGAAGTCGGTGAGCTTAGTGTGGGCAGGCCCAGGGATGAGGAGTATGCGTGTGTGTGTGTGTGTGTGCGTGTGCATGCATGTATGTGTGTGTGCATGCTTGCGTGTGCGCATGTGTGTGCTCACTTTCAGGACCAGCCATGCTTGTCACAAGGTTGACTGCAGGCTGCCATCTTTAGCAAAGGAAGAGCGTGGTGGGCACATAAGGGTCACCAAAGCTCAGAGGGAGCTGCTAACCAAGGACTGCCAAAGGAAAAAACAGAGGCTTTCCTTGGGGAGGATGGACCAGGGCTAAGAGACAAGAGAGAGATGGCTGGCCTGCCCAACTCTCTTTGTTTCCTGTGCAAGGGAAAATGACAAGTAGGGGGAGAGCCAGAGCACCCAAGGGAATGAGCATTTATAGAGTGCCTACTATGTGCCAGGCACTGGGCTAAGCACTTTGCAAATATTTCATCTGATCCTCACAACCCTAGGAGGTGGAGGCTGTTATTTTCCCCATTTTACAGTGGAGGAAACTGAGGCAGGCAGCACTGTTCAGGGACTTGCTCAAGGTTGCCCAGCTTGAACTCAGGTCTTCCTGACTCCAGGCCCCATGCTGTGGTGTTCTGGTGCCCTCATTGCCTCAGAAGCTGTTGAAGGAACCCCCGGTTCTGACACATGGGGCAGGTGAGCACATTTAGGGAAGTTCTCCCAGTCCATGTGGTTGGAGGGTCACTTGTAGGACCTGGAAGACTGAGAGAAGACCAAGAGGGAGGATGTGCCCACCGTCTTCAGGTATCAGGGGGTTATCATGAGAGGCCCAAAGGACGGAGCCAGGAACTGCCAAGAGGCCAGTTTCAGGACGAGCTTCCTCCCACAGTGGCCTAGGTGCCCCCTACCCCCAAGGTCTTAAGGCTGGATGACTCCCCGTTGGGGACATCAGCGATGTGTGTATGGGCAGACGGGCCCGTTCCAACTCCCTTTGCTCACAGTAGGATGGTAATCGGCCTCAGTGGGAGGGTCTCCTACCGCAGCAAAGCCCTGGGTCATTGGAGGGAGGGCCTATGGGTGCCTCAGAGGGTCTGGCTAGAAGGTGTGACTCCGAGATCCTCAGGAGGCATGCGTTTTGTGTCTCTAATCAGCCTTTCCCCTGAGGCCCAGACCACCTTAATGACAATGGGATCATGTAAGCTTTTCTTTTTCCCCTGAGAATGATCCTCCAGTGAACAGGGGTGCATAGGAACACATTAAGACAAAAGTAGCAGCATTGGCATCTGGCAGAAACATCTGCTCCCTTCTGGGCCCTGCCCAAACCTGCTGGCCCCAGGCCCCTGTTGGCTGCCTTCTCCTTTTAAGGGAACAAGGACAAATCCTGAATGGTTTCACCTGGGAGTGAACTAAGGCATCCACAATGCCTGGGCTACAAGGGGTTCTGGGAGGCCAGAGTGAGCCCAGCCTTCATCCCCACCCCCAAGCCTGGAGAGTCCCTGGTGTGATTCTAGCTGAGTCTAGCACTTCCTGGTCTGAGCCATAGCCCTGGGCCAGAGGCACTTGCTGCTGGGGGTGGGGGGGAGGGGGCAGAGAAGGAGTCAAGAGAGCAGGATGAGATGGGCCCCAGGTCCTGCCTGTCTTCTGTCTGTGGCCACTGTACTGATGGGCCTGGCTCCTCTGGCTGCTCTGAAGAGAGTCAGGTGGCCCCAGGGGAGGGTCCTGCTGCCCAGGCCAGAGAGATTCTCTGTCCCAATGCTTCCCAAATTCTTTTTGGGGTGAGGGGCAAAGGTCTCAGCTTGGGCCCATACCCCATCACCAGTTCCTTCAGGGTTCCTCTAACCCACCTTCTTATGGAAGCCCTCACCGCCACCACCATCCTCCTCCCCTCTGAGCAAGAGCTTCAGGCTAGGCTAGGAAGGCAGCATGGTGTGGGCAGCCCTAATATAGGGCCTGGGCCCCAGGGAGGCATCAGAGTTCAGAAACCCACTGCCTTAAGTGTGGGGCTGTGTGGGTGTACTGAGCAGGCCAGGAGCCCGAGGCCAGGGCAGAGTTGGGATCCTCTGGGAGTTGGCCCTCTCCCCACACACTCTGCCTTTGGGACTTGGCCCAGGCCAGGCAGGGACCACTCCTTGGATTTCCCCTTCCAGACCGTTCTGCTTCTGGCCCAAGTCAGGGTCCCCTGGAGCTCCTCATGGGTCGTCACCAGACAGGCGTTTCGCTGCTGGGCTCCTTTCCCAGCCAGGCCAACAAACCCAGCCCAGGTTGTGGCTCTGGCCTCTCCCCAGGCCTTTGTTGTGCCTTCAACACTGTTTTATACAAACATACTCTTAGAATAATATAGAAATCCCATAGCAAGGGTCAGGGATTCCCAGCATGGAAGCATTTAGGGGCATCACTATCTGACTAACCCTGCGAACCGTTGTCACCCTCTTCCATTTTATTACTGAATTAATAAAGGAACTTGCCAATAAATGTCCACTGTTCAGTACAACAATACCGTCTGATGACCAGCTGGGAATGACTTGGTTCTTCTCAGCAACACAGTGGTCTTTCCCAAAGGACTCATGATGAAAAATACTGTCTCAGGAGAAAGAACTGATGGTGATGGGGCAGCTAGGTGGCACGGTGGGTAGAGCACCAGCCCTGGAGTCAGGAGGATCCGAGTTCAAATCTGCCTTCAGACACTTGGCACTTATTAGCTGTGTGACCCTGGGCAAGTCACTTAACCCCATTGCCTAGCAAAACAAAAACAAGAACTGATGGTGTCTGAATGCAGATCAAAGCTGACTTTTTTTATCTTTCTGGACTATTTTTCATGTTTTTTATTTTTTCCCTTTGGATCTGTGTCTCTTTTCACAACATGACTAATATAGTAGTATGTGTTGAATGATTGAACATGTAGAACCTAGATCCAGTTGCTTACTGTCTCATGGAAGGGTTCAAAATTTTTTTAAAAATCATTGTTAAAAATTGTCTCTACATATAACTGGGGAAAAAATAAAATTTAATTAAAAATTTTTTAAATGTCCACTGAGAACTCTGTACATGCAAATCAGTCCTAGGGGCCCAGGAAGATGTGAGCTGGGCCCCTGCCCTCCAGGGTCCTGGTGGGTGAACCAGACACCATGAATGAGTGAAATGTTAACTATGGAGAACAGACAAATGCATCCATGATGTCACGTGTACAGGATTAGTGACCCGCAAAAGGAAGGGCTGCAAAGGGGAAGAGCTGGACTCTAGGTGGACCTTGATAGTTGGGAAGAAAGAGAGGGGAGTCTAGCCTGTAGACTTAGCCTCTCTCCTCTGCCAAATAATGGCCCCACTGCCTTCCTAACAACAGATAAGGATTTTAGCTCATTCATTCATGGCATCCAACTCTAATGCTGCAGTGAAATAAGCAGTGATCAGTCTTGAGCGTAGACTAGATATGTATCCACCCCTGAGCACATTTCCGATAATGACTCTTCTCTAAAATCTTTGCAGGACCCCATTGGATTTGACAGCATCAACATCAACAGACACTTGGCAGAGCTGGAAAACTGCAAATCTGCCGGTAGTATTTAAATTGTCCCTGACATGGCAATGACTGTGTGTGAGCCAGGGGAAAATGGATAGTATCTGACCAGCCTCTAGTCATGTAAACAAGTGTTTAGTGGGATGGTCATGAATTCAGAAAATTGGGTACTACTACCTTCTTCCTACCCTGGGCGACCATCACGGGCTGACAGAAAACTCATACCCTCCCGCCTAAAGTGCCTTATGGATTTGTTCTCTTTCTCTTCCTTCTGTGTATATGCTTAGATATGTCCTGGTCTCATTTGAATTAACAGTAGGGGTTGGGGTGGGAGGTTGTCACATTCTTTGCTACTATACGAGCTGGCACCAGAGTGCCCAGTGCTAAGGACTCCTGCCTCTGCTACTTACTGGCTGAGTGGCCTTGGGTGGGCAAGTCATCTCACCTGTCTTCCTCTTCCAAAAAATGAAGATAATAATAGCATATATGTCCCTGGGGTGTTGTGAAGAGCCAATGAGAACGTGCATGTAAAGTGCTTTGCAAACCTTAAAATGCTCTATAAAGTTAGCTACCACAGAACAATACCTGGCACACAGTTAATGCTTAATAAATGCTCTATAAATGTGTGCTACTATAGCAGAGCACTGGCACACAGTAAGAGCTTAATAAATGCTACTGTAGCACAGCACCTGGCACACAGTAAGTGCTTCATAGATGGTCTACAAATGTTAGCAGCTGTAGCACCACACACAGTACTTAATAAGTGCTCTATGAATGTTTTCTACTGTAGCATAGCATCCGGAACACAGTGCTTAAGAAATGCTCTATAAATGTTCACTACTGTGGCACCCACCAGCATATCATAGGTGCTTAATAAATGCTCTATAAATGTTGGCTACCATAGCACAATGCCCAGCACACAGTAAGTGCTTAATAAATGTTCTGTAAATATTAGCAGCCACAGAACAGTACCAGCACACATAAATGCTTAGCTATTGGTTGACCAATTCTTTGAAGAGTCATAGAAGGTAAAACTATCACTTATTATTTCTGGTTCCCAACTGATGACCCCGAGGAAGTCTGAGAGGCACCTCTTCTCCCAGAGCCTCTTGAACGCCATGCCTCCAACAAGAGCCTCTGTGCTGAGGGTGGAACATAAGCCATTTTGATTCTTATCAAGGAGGGGTGGCTGGTTTGGCATGTTTGAATGGACCTAGAAGTCACTGGCTCGTCCTCCAACAGAGGCATGAAGCCCATGCCTGCACCATGCATCCCCCGCAGGTGGGAAGAGCCACAGACCTAACCCTCTTGCCCTCCCCGCCCGTCCATCAGAAAGCCTCTGGAGACAGTAGAAAACCCCAGCCTGACTGCAGGCTTCTTCTGGCTTTATGTCTCAACAGCATGTTGTTTCTTACAGAATCCCTGACTACCAGGGTACCCTTGGGCAAGGAGACAATTCCTAGTCAGAAAGGGGAGGAGAGAGGCAGCGACCACTCTGAGAGGTGGGTTGTGCCAGCCAGGCCAGGCACAGGAGGGCTCCCCCCTGCACTTTCCCTCTTGGGTCCCCCCTTGGCCTGTCCGTCTTGGGTCCCTCCTTTGGGCTTTCCCTCTTGGTCCCCCCCACCATGGGCTTTCTCTTTTGGGTTCCCTCCCTGCTTTCCCTCTTGGGTCCCCTCCCCTCCTCCACCCCATGGGCTAGTCTTTGCATTTCCGAGCTGGATGGTCACAGGTGTGCCCTCCTTCCAGACAGGACTCAAACTTCAGCCAGTGCCCACACAATGAGCCCGACTTCCAGCAGCTCCTAGAGCAGAAAGAGCAGGCTCTCATCATGCTACAGGAGACGGTGCAGGTAGGGCCAGAGGAAGGGGACCCTAGAGGGGTAGAGAGGGAAGAAAGTGTCTGACCTGGCTTCCCACCTCGCCTTGGGGGGCACCTGCTTCTTTTGTGCCTAGCACTGGGCTGGGAGCTGGAGTCGCTGACCTTCTGTTGGACCAAACAGCCTGATTGCATACAAGGTGTTTGTGAGAGAGTAGGGAGGAAGCACAAAGTGAGTTTAGGAGATGGGGACCCTGGGAAGGCATTGCAGGCGCAGAGCATAGCTGGTGCAAAGGTGGGGAGGTGGGAACAGGGAGATCAGAGGCTAAACTGTGGGGTGTGTATGAAAGGGAGTCTTGTGTATAATGAGGCTGCAAAGGGAGTGCTGGGATTGACATCAGGGTAAACTGAGGCACAAAACTCTGAGCACAGTCAATTTATTAGCAAAGTGTGAATTTAAGCCTCTACAGCAAGCTAAGACCCCAAATGAGGGGCTGGCAGATCATTTTTACAGCCAAAAGGAGGAGTATCCAAAACCAGGAGGCGGCCTCCTGGATGGAAGAGATGATACAAATGGTTCAAAGTCTGAAGCATCCTAGGCATGGGGGCAGGTGGGGGGAGTCAATGCTGGGCTAGCAACCACTCTAGCTAGGAAATTCCTATGGATTCAGGCTGCCGGCAAGGCTGCTTAGTGGTACAGAGATCGCAGACCAGACTTCCTTGGACTGAATAAACATCACACAAGATGTTGGTGGCTGGTACAGAAGAGAAACAGTAGAATTTTCTGAGTGGTGCTCCCTGAGGCCTGAGGGACACAGGGCTCCTTGAGCAGGGCAGAGATGTGGCCAGAGCACATGGCAGCGTAGGCCATACTGCAGAGGAGAGAATCGAGGCTGTTGTAGTATTTAAGTGAGGGATGGTAAGGGTCTGACTTAGGGCCGAGGAGAAAACGGGACAGTAGAAGGTGGGATCAATGAGATGGCACCATGTGCACATGGCAGAGAGTGAGAAAAGATGCTGTTGGTACCCAGGAAGATCCAGCAGAAGAGCCAGAGAAGCAGTGGCTGGTAGGAGGAGAATCGGGAGAGAAAGCAAACCATTGAAGAAGAGAGACGGTGTAACCAGCATGGGAGGCCTCAGAGATAGAGAAGGAGGAGGGCAGAGGAGAGACCATTGGACTCGCCCCAAAGCAATAAAGAGGGGGCTTCCCGACAGCATCATCTTTGCCCCTGGCCAGGAGGAGGAAGAGACTTCCTGCCTTTTGCCCCAGAGGGCGCCTGTGTCACCAGCCATCACCTGTGCCCCCTCTGGCTCTCTTTGAATGCCAAGAGACCTTCAGGCCACTTTGGGAAATCCTTCCTAACTTCTGCCCTGCATAGGCCGAGCAGAATGGTGCTGATCCCCTTCCTATCCAGTAGCCTGGACACTTCTCCTAAGCCTTCTCTTCTCTGCCCTCCACAGCGTATTAATGCCCTTTCCCAAGATGGCGCCTGGTTGGGGCCAAATGACCTCTGAGGTCCCTCCCAACCCTTGGGTCACCATCTCAGAAGAATCCTTCTCCCAACTTGGTAGGCGCAAGACCCCTATTTTCCTTCTCACCTGCCCTTGGTCCAAGCCACTGCCTGCCCTCCTCTGCCACCTCCAGACACGAGTGGCCTTTGTACTGCCTGGGGCCTCTGTCCTTCTCTACTGTGCCCAAGAAATCAGCAGAGACCTTTGGAATGACCCTGTGAAAGGATGAGGAAGGGGAGATTGCTCATATTTTAAATAGACAAGATGAGGTGCCAAAGTCAAAAACTTGGGGAGACTTCCCAAGGCCCAGCTCTTCTATGTCAGCACCTCCCAGACTGTCCCCCTTGAGGGATTTGAGGAACCTTGACACTCAGGCTCTTCAGTGAAGGAGCCCTGTGGGCATTTCCTTTTGGCCTGCCTTTATGCCAGCAATGAGAGCATTTCTCAGCAGACCTGGCCACTAGCCCCATGGCCAATTGACTGACTGACACAGGAATCTTGAGAATTTCGTTACGTAAGACCTGACAGGAAAATAGCTTAGTCAGATGTGTTGCAAAGGGACTCTGCTTCCTGTAAGATTGGATCTCTTTTATTCATTGTTCTTTTGATGAAAGGAGCCATGCCCTATGGGAGAATCCAACTTGACCAGCATTTTTAATCACCTACTATGTGCTACTCAGTAGAAGTAGGAATGTTAGGAGAAGGGAAAGATAATCAGTTGTGTTTGGAATCTTTGAGTTGGAGATACCCATGAAATCTATGGGACGTGCCCAAGAGGCAGATGAGATGGGAGCTCATAAGAGAGATGAGGCTGCATAGACAGGTCTGGGAATCTGGGGGAGCTGATGATAGCACCTGGATAGGGAGGAGGATCTGAGCCCCAGCCTGGGGGGGGCCCACCCCCACCCCCACCTGTAGAGGTGAGGCCAGAGAAATGATTCTGAAAAGGACAGAATGAAGGAAGCCAGTTGGCCAAGGAGGAGGCAGACCAGAAGAAAGAGTGTCATGGAACCCAGAGGAGAAAGGGGGAGGGGTATCAGTGTCAGACAGCTCACTGGGGACCTGGAGAGAGCAGCTTCCCTTCAATAATGAGACCACAAGTTGGAAGTGAGCAGGTTTGCCAATGACTATGGCAGCGTGCAGTCTTTCCTAGGATTTTGGCTCTGAAAGGGATGAATGCCATTGGATGGCAGCTTAAAGAGATGAGGAGGGTCATAGGAAGGGTGTTTAAGGTTGTGGAGACCTGGACATGTTTGTGGCAGGAGGGATGGAGCTGGTGGAGGAGGAAAGACTGAAGATTAGTATGTGGGGGATGGCGAAAGAAGGGTCCTGGGGGAGATGGGATGGAAGACACAAGCCAGGGACATTGGCCTCAGCTGGAAGGGTCACCTGTTGCTCGGAGCCTGGAGCAGAGGAGCAGAGAACAGGGGATGCCATTGAGGGGACTGAAGATGTGGAGCTGGGCAGAGGAGGCAGTTCATGATGGATGGCTTCCATTTTTTTCCTGCAAAGTATGGGGTCTGAGGAAGGGGATGCTGTAGAGAGAGTTTGTAAGAATTGCTATGGAGTTCGACAGTCAGCCAAGGAAGAGTCAGGGGGCCCATATCCAACGGGAATGGTCCAGTGGAGATCAAAGACCACGATTGTGTGATTTGCCCCTCCTCTGTGGGGCAGCCCCTAGAAGGCAAGGAAAAGGCCCAGACTGAGAAGGGTTCAGGTCTGGGGATTAGAAAGAAATGAGCAGGGAGAGAACAAGGGTAGGAGGGATTTAAAGGCAGAATCATTGGGTCGAATCATTGGAATGATGTGCACCTGTTTCCTGCAGATTCTACAGATGAAAGTGCATAGGCTTGAACACCTGGTGCAGCTGAAGGACATGAGGATCGAAGACCTGACCAGACACCTGAACACCCCCAAATAAGGGAGACACAGGCCCCATGGCACCTGCCTCCTGGGGTCAGATCCTGCTGCTGAAAAGTAACCGCCCCTCCTCACTCTGTGGCCTGGGAAGAACTGAGGGGATCTGGACGTCAGCAGCACACCTTCTCCTCCAGGGGACTGACTGCCATAGTTTGCCTCCTCCCTCCTTCTCCTTCCCTCCCTCCTTCCTTCCTTCTTTCCTTCCTCCCTCCCTTCCTTCCTTCCTTCCTCCCTCCCTTCCTTCCTTCCTTCCCTCCTTCCTTTCCTCCCTCCCTCCCTTCCTTCCCTCCCTCCTTCCTTCCTCCCTTTCCTCCTTCCTTCCTTTTCTCCTTCCCTCCCTCCTTCCCTCCTTCCTTCCTTCCTCCCTTCCTCCCTTCCTCTCTTCCTCCCTTTCTTCCCTCCTTCCTTCCTTCTCTCCTTCCCTCCCTCCTTCCCTCCTTCCTTCCTTCCCTCCTTTCTTCCTTCCTCCTTCCCTCCCCCTTCCCTCCCTCCCTCCCTCCCTTCCTTCTTTCCTTCATTTGTACACCCAAACATCTTCATCTGCATATTGGGTGGCTCTTTTGGACACATGGAGTCAGGAGGCCTGCCCCACTCCACACCTTGGTAGGGTCAGTCTGGGCAAAACTAGCCCTTTGTACACAGTAGTGTCTGGGAGGTCTACTGAGGGACTCCTCCCCTCCCCCATCCTAGTTGAGTAAGGCTGGCTTCAAGGGACTGTCCTGATCTCTGGCATTGTGTATGTACATACATGTGTGTGTGCACGTGCACCCATGCACACATGTGTTCCTGCTATGACCTGGTCACTAGTGCTCCCTTGGTATCCACCATGTCATACTCTAAGCATATGCCTTTAAAAGTGTACAGATGGTGAAAATTAGGCCTGGAATTACTTTTACAATGAAAGAAAATATGGTTAGGAGCTTGGTGTCCAATTTCTTTGGTTGTGGAGGCCAGGACTGGGGTTATGGACACGTGAGATTCTAGTGGGGCCTGTGTGGTGAGGAGGCCAGTCCCCTCTCTCTGGGCCTTTCCCTGCTGACCACCTGGACAGCTCTGGGGTCTGAAACTTACCTCCTTGGTGCAATGGGAGGCTTGGACAGGATATTCTCAGGGGTTCCTGACAGCTCTGAATTCTGGGATCACTGGGTACTCCCTTACACAGCCCCCTCCATGTGCCAAGAGCCCCTGGGAAATCCCCAGTGGCTAAGTTTGCAGAAGAGCCTCATGGAGCCAGGGTCCTCTGTGTGGACCTCGCCACAGGAGGCCCTGTTTTCTCTGAACAAATGCAGCCGACTCAGAGTGAGGTCGGATAGCCATGAGCTAATGAGGAAAATAGGGAGGAAATCGCAGCTGTCCCTTCCTGAACACAGGGCCTTTGCCACAGAAATAAGGAAGGCGATAAAATTGGATGTTGGCCTCAGGGGCACACCATCCCCACTTGAGCATGGCCACCTGGGCCAGAGCTGGGAGGGCTCACCCTGAGGAAGGTAGTGGCCGAGGGAGGGGCACAGACTTGGAGTTACCAGAATGCTCTGTCATGGGAACATTGTACCTCCCTTTTCCCAGCATAATGGAAGCCTCCCAAGGGCAGGGACACTTTCATTTGCTTCTTCTGGTCTTGGGGGACTATTAATCTTGTGAATCTGCATAATAAGGGCCTGACCTGAGGTAGGGGAGGTGGAGACCGGGACAACCTGGCCTAGGCACTCTCTGAGGACCCCTGTAAGGTTCAGCCTGAGAAGAGGCTTGGGCAGAGAAGGAAAGCAGAGAGAGGACACAGGTTATCTGGTCTAAGAGAAGTGGGTCTTTGGCCCCAGGGGCAGCTGGAAACTGGGTGTCTTGAAATTGATGAGTGTTGGGGCAGCTAGATGGCGCAGTGGATAGAGCCCTGGCCCTGAAGTCAGGAGCACCTGAGTTCAAATCCGGCCTCAGACCAAACACTTGACAGGTACTAGCTATGTGACCTTGGGCAAGTCACTTAACCCTGATTGCCTCACTAAAAGTAAAGAATTTAAAAAAAAAGAAATTGATGGGTGGATACAGGGATTTAGATGCAGCTGAGCTCTGTCCCCTCCCTTCCTCCCTCCCAGCTAGGCTCACAGGATCTCAAACCTACCTTCTGACCTGGAAATTATTTTGCCAGGAATAGAGAAAAGGGGTATTATTGAACATGCCCAGCCATATAAAAATTTTCATTCCTGGCTTTATTTGTAAGAACCGTAAAGCAAGACCCCCAAAACAAAGCCCCCCTCCCCCCAATGCCCCACAAGCCCCTAGCAGTGCTCCAGAGAATGGAAATTGGTAAATGACTGCAGCCTGTGCATGTAATTTGGGGCTGTAAGGAAGGAGATGGGGCTGGCTCAGAAAGCTTGAGACAAGAGCCATTGGCTGGGGGGGGAGGGTCATTTCTGGACTGTGGTATGACCAGGGCAGCTGGTGAGCTGCTTTTCCTCAGACTCTGCGTTACTTGGGTTCTTTGCTCTTGGGTGGTAGTTGTGAAGAGTACAGTAAAAAGGAAAACTTCTGCTTGTGCTTTCCAGTCTTGGAGACTAATGAGTCTGAGAGGTTCTGGGTCCCTTGGTTAAAGCTGACTATGGGGTGGGGGGGAGGGGGGAGGATGAACCCCACTCCCGAGCCATCTCCCAAAAGCCATGGGCTAGGAGGGAATCGTTTGGACAGTGCAGAAGTAAGTGCAGAGGGGAAAGGAAAATGCCAGGTCAGTAGTTCAACAAAATTCTTCCCATTTTGCTTAAAGTATCAGTCTCTTGGGAGAGCATCCTAGTTCTAATGTTATCACTGCTACATGGTCCTTGCTAATTCATGCTAGTGAGTTACTAGGGATAAGAAGTGCTTTTGTGTAAAGGAAATAAATAGCTACCCTATGCCTGCTTTTCACTGTACCTCGAGGCCCTTTCTACCCTGCCTCTTTGGGGAGATCCCAGACATGAGGCAAACCTAAGTTCTAAGTGATTTCCTGGGACTCTTGGGTGGATGCCTAAAGAGACCAAGAGTGACAAAGAACCTGATTTCTCCTTTTAGAAACCAGCTTCCCCAAGGACTGAGCAGATCTAGGTGAGAGGACCTCCCTGTGGCAACCCTCATGAGCCCAGCTTCAGCTGTTACTGCTACCCCCAATTGTTTTATGTCTTCCTTCCAGGGGGTATGGAGCTGCTTGGGCTGTAAGACTTTGCTCAGGGAAAGCTGCTTGTTCCAGGTTTGGAGTTTCAGGGGAGCTGAAGACAGTGTGGCCATACTGGAGTTAGCTGCATCCAACCTTGACTCAAGGATTTGAGTTGAGATGAATACAGCTTGGCAAAGATGTTTCATAATTCAGAAAGTCCCAAAAGCTTGGAACTGCACTAAGACTTTTGGAACACCTTGTGGTCACGTGAAAGACTGCTCCAAATCCCTAGGAGTGAGAGAAACATGAATCCAAATGATGCTGAGACTTCGTTTCATACCCATAAATGGCAAAGATGAGGAAACATGGCGATAGTCACCATGGCTGGGGTCGTGGAGAGATGGGCATACTTAATGCGTTGCTTGTGGAGCTGACTTAATACAACCATTCCAGAAAACAAGGTTGAATTGTTTTAAGAAAGTGACTAAAATGTCCACACTCAGTAGCCCAGAGCTTCTGTGGCTAGGCATCTACCTCAGGAAGACAAAGACAGAAAGAAAGGTCCCATAGACATCAAAATAGAAATGTCAGCCCTTCCGTGGGAACAAAGGATTGTGGATGCCTGCACTTGACAGGGTTCCAAAAACTAGTTGTTGCCTGATCAGGACCCCCCAGACTCTGGCCATGTGGGCAGAAGCCCCATAAGCACGCAGCATGTCACAGAGCAGACAGGGCAGAAGAGGCAGCCCAGGTGGGCTCCATCCTTCAGAAAGAGGTCCCCGGGGTTGGGGTGGGGGGTGCTCAGAGCCAGAAGCACAGATGGCAGTGAGTCAGGGAGCCTGGGGAGAGTCAGACTATGAGGGGATTGCCAGAGACAGGAAATACTTCCTAGCAGTAACTGCTATTCAAAGGTGCATGGGCTGGCCTCCAGAGGTGCTGAGCTCCCCAGCCCTGGAGGTCTGCAAGCTGAAGCTGGATGATCACTTGTCCTGCATGTTGTACAGGGGACTCTTGCTCAGGGCTGACATGAACAAGGACTTGGAAGTTCTGGAATTGCCATCATTCCTGAGGTAAGACCTGTTGGCACCTTGGTCATAGGTGGCAGGGGTCCTCCTGGTCAGATTGGGAGTGGGAAAGTTTGCTCAGAGACAAGAAGGCCTTTGTGGGTGTCCTGCCCACAGATCAACATCAGACAGGGCTTCCAGGCTTTCTCCCATACACCAAGGGGCAATGGAGAATGAGTCGAGAGCTCCAGGGACACCTGAAGAAGGAAAAATTGACCCCCAACAGTTGTGAGACCTTAGAAGGAGTTGGGCAGCCTCATCCTTGACATCAAAAGTCAGACCTAGAATTGTCTGATTGCCCCAGAGAGATCTGCATTTTCATAGATATAAGATGGAAACAGAGTAGGAACACCATAGGTGTAGAGCTGGCAGGGGCCTCAGAGACCCCTGGGGCCAGTCCCTTCCCTTTACAAGTGAGGAGAATGAGGCAGGGTACCACGTGCTAGGCTGGAGGAGTTGCTTTCAATCAAAGAGGAGGAAGTTGTTCTCTGTGTGGCCCAGCGGGGGCCTCAGGCTCCCGGCCACCCAACAAAGGGGCCAGTGATGGTGGAGGGGCAGCATCCAGAGCCCAGAGTGGACTGTGTGCAAAGGGAGGGCAGGGGAAAGGCTAACCCAGGCCCCTTGAATCCAAAGGCCAGGCAGCCAAGCTCTCTAGGCTTAACTCTTCCCCAAGGGAATTTTTCAGCAAATTCCAGTTGACCAGCTGCCAGGTGCCATTCTGTGGCAGTCACTGGGCTCTGTGCATCGCTGAGGAGTCAGGGATCAGGGAAGCACTCGAGTCCTCCAGAAGATTTGGCTACTAGCCCAGGCCTTTCCCTGGAGGCATGGAGACAGCTGGGAGGTACAGGGGCCCACAGGAATCTGGCCAGACCTAGAAAAGGTTTGTCCATTTGGGGGCAGGGGGTCCCAACTATGGTTTCCTCAGTGTGGGGAACTCTCATTAGGGAAACTCCCTCCACCAAAATGGATCTGGTTCAGAGCTGGTGTGTAAAGGTTAGTCAGCACTAACAGCCTGGACACTCTCTTAGGGTCACAAGG